CCACGGCTCTTGCATCTCCCCTCTCTGCTTCCTCACCTCCCGCCCGGCTGGGTCTCCACACTCGTCCACCTCCGCACCCCACTTGCCCCGCAGCTCACTGAGCTAGGACTCTGAACTATCGCCCACGGCATCATTCACTGGATTTCCAGTGCTCCTTTGGTTCCCGTTTTTGCTAATAAAAGACTTTAATTTCTTACCACCTGACTCCCGTGTTGATTCTGCATGTCTTGGGGTAGACGCCTTCCACAAGTCATGACAAGTGCTGACATCAGCCAAGAAATCTAGAACATTTGTTGCTGAAGCAAAAATGATCTTGCTTTGCATTTCAGAACCTGAGAGAACCTCACACCTCCGTACAGTCTGGTGTCGGTCCAATCACGGTGCTCCACCTGTTTGTAAGTAAGTGAATCTAAGATGGCGGTGGCTGGCTTGAAACAGATTTGGCATTCACTTTGGACTATTAGACGTCTAGAGCAGATAGAGGTACTAAAGTCCTTTATTTAGGAAAAGGACGCATTTGCGTCCAACAAAGTGTGGTGGACTGCCCCATTGACATCCGTAGCGGTAAGTACGTCACGTTGTTTGTTGTCCAATACCATGCGGAGACAGTTTGAAAGACACCAATAGATCTACTGTCTATGGGTTGTGGTCAGACTATACAATCACATACAGGTGCTGGTCATTAAAATAGAAGTGACAAAGTTGATTTATTTTAGTAATTCTATTCAAAAAGTGAAACTTGTATTAGATTCATTCATTGCACAAGGACTGATATCATTCAAATGTTTATTTCTTTAATTTTAAGGATTATAACTGGCAACTAATGAAAATCCCAAATATCTCATATTATTAGAATATCAATTAAGACCAATGCAAAAGAAGGAATTTTGGAAACGGCCAACTGAAAAGTATGAACATGAAAAGTATGAACATGTACAGCACTCAATATTTAGTTTGGGCTCCTTTGGCCTGGATTTCTGCAGCAATGCGGCGTGGCATGGAGTCCATTTGTGGCACTCCTCAGGTGTTATGAGAGCCCATGTTGCTGTGATAGTGGCCTTCAGCATTTCTGATTTTGTTCGGTCTGGCGTGTTGCACCTTCCTCTTGACAATACCCCGTAGATTTTCATGTGGTTCAGGTCAGGCTGGCCAATCAAGAACAAAGATACCAGGTTCGCGGGAGGCTGGTGCCTATCTCCAGCAGTCTCCAGGCAAACAGATAGGGTACACCCTGGACAAATTGCCAGTCCATCGTAGAACATGGATACCATGGTTCTTAAACCAGGTACCGGTAGCTTTGGCACTGTGTGCAGGAGCTAATCCCTGTTGGAAAACGAAATCTGCATCTCCATAAAGTTGGTCAGCAGCAGGAAGCGTGAAGTGCTCTAAAACTTCCTGGTAGAGGGCTGCGTTGACCTTTGACCTCAGAAAACACAATTGACCAGCACCAGCAGACATGGCACTCCAAACCATCAATAAGTATGTTTACATGTGCCAAATTCCCCCTATCCGATTCAAATCTTGGTTGATCTGAAATCCCAAATCCCTGTTCACATGCACACTAAATGAAATGGTCCGATCTTGCTGTGATTATACGTGCACCAAGAATTCAGTCAGATTATATAGGTTGAGAATGCGCAGAGTTGTCTTTCCCAGAAAAAAATTTTAAACAAACACTATTTGTCTGCATGTCTTTACCCTCGCATTTTATTTTCTTATTTTCTAGCATTGCGTTTTTTCCTCCATTATTGACCTTCGCATTTTGACCTTATGCTTTTGTTTTACTGATCGTTTTAACTAAGCTACAGGCCCAGCGGTATGTAATGCTATGCTCCTCCGCCACAGGAAAGGAGAGCAGTATAACTTCTGTTTTCCTCCCACTGGGTTTTGACTTGTCCTGAGTGTCTACAAAGGCAGAAAGACATTATGCCAAAGTTGCACACATGTGCAGTGGGCATTATTTTACCCCAATAATTCGAATTAGCGTGTACATGGATGTCAATAGGAATGATGATCAGACAAAACCACCGCTCACAATCGTAATGGAATTTCATTCCAATTGGGCCATATCAAAAAATCAGAATATTCTGACTGACATGTTTACATGAAGAATTTTTGATCTGATTGGGCCTTAATTCGATTACTTGTGCCCATGTAAACGTAGCTACTGATTGTAGAAACTTTACACTAAATCTCATGGATTCTGTGCCTTTCCTCTCTTCCTCCAGACTCTGGGACCTTGATCTCCAAGGGAAATGCAAAATTTACTTTCATGACATTCAACATAACTTTAGACCACTCAGCTGCAGTCCAGTCCTTTTTGTCTTTAGCCTAGGTCTCTTGTTCAAGCATGGCTTGACACAAAGAATGCGACAGCTGAAACCTGTCTTGCATACATCTTTGCGTGGTGGTTCTTGAAGCACTGACTCTAGCTGCAGTCCACGCTCTGTGAATCTCCCCCACATTGTTGAATGGGTTTTGTTTCACAATCCTCTCCAGGGTGCAGTTATCCCTACTGCTGTACACTTTTTTCTACCACATCTTGTCCTTCCCTTCACCTCTCTATTAATGTGCTTGGACACTGAGCTCTGTGAACAGCCAACCTCTGTAGCAATTACTTTTTCTGTCTTGCCCTAATGAATCGCCTTTTGGACAATTGTGAAGTCAGTATGTCAGCCTGCAGTATGAAGCAATAATTTAAAAGTATGTAATTTACCATTTAGATCACCTTCAACTCTCACATCCAGGGCCATTTCAGGGCACTTGGGGGCCAAGGCAAAATAGACTTGGAGCCACCCCAATAAATCCACACACATCTATAGGACCTTCTGACATCCTTTAACTCTGCAGTCAGAGACGCAAGGGTTGTCTATTTCTCCATCCTGGTGTCCCAGAGCAAAGGGAACCCCAAGGTGCTGTTTAACACCATCAGCAGTATTGTCTCTCCTGCCTCTCCTACAGCCTCCATCCACTCTGTTGAAAACTTTCTGTCTTTCTTTGTGGACAAAGTCAATCAGGTTAGAGCTAGCATCTCTCCTTCAGCCTTATCGCCACCTCTCCCGACTCCAGATAGCTTTGCTCCTGTTTCTTTGCCTGAGTTAACCAAACTAGCAAACTCTATGAAGACCTCTGCATGCCCCTCGACATCTTATCCTCATCTTTGTTTAAAAGTGCTTTTCAGTCCATCGGTCCCAGCGTGCTCTCTATAATTAATGCTTCTCTGGTTTCTGGTCAGGTCCTTGCTTACTTTAACAAAGCTGTAATCCACCCGCTTCTTAAAAAACCGAGTCTTGACGCCTCTCTCCATAGCAGCTTCAGACCCATCTCTAACCTGTTCATCTCCAAGATCTTGGAAAAGGTTGTGGCTAAACAACTCACAGCTGCTCTTGATGAACATAACATCTATGATAGCTTCCAGTCAGGTTTTTGTAGAGCTCATTCTACTGAAACAGCTCTTCTTTGTGAGACGGTGTGAGTGTCCTGTCACTGCGACCTGATTGATCATGTGCCCTGGCTAGTTGGGCGTAATGGTAATGGGTGATTACTCTATTACTCTCTTGGTCAGCTTGCTTCTCACACCAAACCTTCTGTCCTGGTGTGACCTTTGACCCAGCCCTCACCCTGATTCTCATGTCAGTTCTCTTGTTCGCTCTTCCTTCTTCCATCTCAGGAACGTTGCTAAGCTGAGTCCCATTCTGTCCCACTCTGAACTTGAGACAGTTATCCACACCTTCATCTCCTCACGCTTAGACTACTGTAACTCTCTTTTCACGTGTCTGAGCAGAACCTCCCTGAACCGTCTACAGGTGGTTCAGAACGCCTGTGCTCGGCTTCTGACCAAGTCCTCCAAACACACCCACATCACCCCGCTTCTCCTCCAGCTTCACTGGCTGCCAGTCAACTTCAGGGTTCATTTCAAGATCCTGGTTCTGGTCTATAGGGCCTTACATGGACAAGCTCCATCTTACATTGGTGATCTTCTTAGTCCCTACACCCCCGGCAGGTTCCTGAGGTCCAGTGATCAAAGCCTACTGGTTGTGCAGCACCAGGCTAAAGACCAAAGGTGACAGATCATTTGCTGCTGTGGCCCCCAGACTCTGGAACTCTCTCCCCCTGAGCCTGAGATCAGTGGACTCAGTGGTCTCCTTCAAAAAGCAGCTGAAAACTCACCTGTTCAGACTGGCTTTGGTGTGACCTTCTTCAACACCCTCTCCTTTTTCAGCCCTTATTCCACCTTTTCTGGATCACTGATTTCCCTCTTTTCAATAATTTATCTTCTTTTCCTTACTTTTAATCACAATTTTATTTTTTCTTATTTTTAACATATTTTAAATCTTTTGTTTCTGTGAAGCGCCGTGTGATTTTTATCTTGAGGCGCTATAAGATCGCTTTCTTTCTTACATCCACTGCCCCACACACTCTAGCATTGGGCACTTTCATGTCATCGGGCCCTGAGAGCCATCCTGAGATGGTTTTCTAGTGGTCCAGATTTCTGGTTGGGACCTCACGGTGGGTCATGAACCACCAGGTGAAGACGGGGTCAGAGGTCTACTGAAATCAGAGAAATGATTTCCATTTGTATAATTAAACCTTAACTGCTAAATATAACCAAAACATGACGGTTGATCAGTCTTTACCTTATTAACCATGTTTGTTTTGAACGTACAGTCACACCCACCTCAGGCTTTTATTATGAGGGTCATAAAGCTAAACAAGTCAGTGAATCTACTGATATCCAGACTCCATCACTGTTGTGGTTTCAGACTGATGTTTTTTTCTCTCCAGCGAGTCACCGTCACACTAAAGTCTGCCCAGCTGAAAGCTTTGCTGCCCGAACACTGCTGGAGTCTTAGACTCGTTTCTGTGTTCAGTCAGAACAAACTCAAGACTACTCAGATGTGATCGAGTCTCCTTCCAACAGACGGTCGCCATGTTTCAGGTGAGCAGGAACTTTTTGGAACGCAGATTCTGAGTTTTCAGAAAAAAAGCAATGAACCATAAACATTTCATTTACTTTTACTTCATGTTCAAAAAGATACATATTATTTTAGTTCAAATGGGCTAAAGACTGGCGCTCTAATCCTCTAAAAGCTGCTTCAGACACATACAGAACATCTCAATGAGCGTAAAAAAAACAAAGTTGTATATGTATATTAATAAAAAGTGTAAAACAACTACACATCAATAAAAAAACCATTGAACACCACCATTAATGAAAAGTCAAAATAAAACAGAAAATGTACAAAATTCTGTGGGAAACCAGGAGGGAACCTCCCTTCAAGCAGAGGGAATCAGAACAGGACTGAAGGCTGATCTAGTCAAACATGTCATCGTCGTCATCTTCCTCGTTATCCGACTCATGGAAGTATTTCACCTCCTTCCGGGCCCGACCCGGCCTGTCGCGAGACGGGCCTTTCTTGTTGCTGATGGTGGTGCCGTCTTCTTCATCCTCCTCATCAGACGGAGGCTTGGCAGGCTTCTGCAGAGGAAACTCTTCATTAGAGATTAACAAGACCTACAAACACCTCGGTAGAGACCTGGGGAACAGGGAGGAGAGGCGGGGAAGCGGATTCCACCACCGACCAATTCTCTTCTGCTTCTCAGCATCGTGAGTTTCCAGGTTTGGACAAAACTCTGTCAGGACAGGAAGACACTCACCTTGCCAACAGGTTTCAGTGCTTTCTTCATGGGACTGTATTCGTCTTCTGATCCCGAACCCTTCCTCTTCTTCCCCCGGCCTTTACCTGCAATGAGCCCAAAGGTGTCAACCACTGCCCCCACAGCAGGGTGTCGTTACAAGAGAAGAGGGAGGCGGTACCTTTAACAGCAGAGGTTGGTTTCTTGGACTCAGCGTCGGAGTCAGAATCCCAGATAGATTTATCTGGTTTCTTTGTTTTTGGTGCTGGTGGTTTCTTAGGTTTGGGAACGGCATCAGACGACTTTTTAGCTGCTGCAGAAACAAAGGTGGGATATGAAGCTTGGTTTATGCTTGACGCATTCACTTTCCGCGCGGTGATGCGGCTCGCGGATGGAACGCGCTTCACAACTCGCAGCGTTTATGGTTCATGCGGCTTGTCTCTGCGGTGAGCCAATATTCTCCCAAACTGTAGGGGGCAGCATGGAGCTCTACGGCATGCATCCAACACTACACCATAGTAGAAGTAGAAATTACTGTTTACAACATGGCATTTCAGCATTTTTAACAGCGTCCTCGTCTTTTCCGACAGTGCGAGCTATTTCTCTCCAAGAATTATTAACAACATGTTGATCACGGTGATCTTTGAGAGCTGAATCATACAAATGTCTGTATTTACGAACCTCTGCCATACTAGTTCTTGCCGGTCCGCCATGTTTTTCCGCGTCCGACTGTCCGCGTGGTTAGAAAATTTCCTAGGTGCGCGGTGCGGAAAGTTTGGGCCGTGCGGAGGCGCGGGGTTGTTAAAATGACGCAATTTTGCTGCACGGAGCCGTGCGAACCTCGCGGACGCATGAACCAAACTTTAGGAGGATGCCCCCCCCCCCCCCACACACACACACACACACTACCTTTCTTTGCTGGCAGTAGTTTATCAAATGCGGAGCTGCTGGAGTAGGTGGAGAACGTCGGGCCGTTGTCGTCATCACTTTCAGACTTGGACCCATCTGCTAAACAAACAGAGTTTCAGTTTGTCCTTCTTGTTTTTACGTGACATTTTTCTATGAACCCAGCAAATTTAACGCAACACTGTCATGTAAACACAAAACCAAAGAGCAGAAGGTAACTACAGCTGTAGAAATGTAAACTAACCCTAACCTGAATGTAGGGCTGCAACAAACGATTATTTGGATAATCGATTAATCGGATGGGGTCTCAACACGATTAATCGATTAATCGGATTACATGGGGAAATTTTTAAAAACTGCTAGGGAAACGTTATTTCTCTCCTTCCTTCACTTTATTTAACACAACATTATTAGAAAACAGTTCAATAGCAGGAAAACAACATGCCATCACCTAAATTGTCTTATAAGGTGCATAGACAGAGACCCTAAGCTACATCTATCTGTGACCTAAAATGCTTGGTCCAAGTTAAACAGCTTAAGGGCAATTCTCATCTGTTTTGTTTGATCTCATCTGTTGACATTTATTTTAAATGTAATTAAACATAGGCTGTGAATTAATCAAAATTGATCACTATTTCCAAAAATGACTGAAAAAATACCAAATAAAACAAAAGTAAATGAATGCCATCCTCCTTGCGATGATGCCCTGGGCAACTGCCATAAAGTCACATCAAGAAATGCTGCTGATCATTCCAATGATCCCAAATAGACTCACATTAGGCCACATGAAAGCAACTGAACCCAAAAATATATTAACCAGTATATAACTGCACTCTCACACAACACGCCTGCAGCAACAGTTAGGACTCCTCCCTCCCTTTTAAAAGCATTTTTGCTTCTGAGGACATTGTGGTTGTAAAACCACAAGCTAGTAGTCTGGCCCCGGTGTGATCAACCAGTTTCTGCGGGAATGTGACGGCGGAACCAGGGCCAGATTAACACTTTGTTGTACCCTGGGCAACAATATTCAAGGGCTCCATCATCACGACCCGAGGATCACCATAATGTGGTCACATACAGAATATTTTACTGTAATATGCAGTAAATATACTCAATACTTGAATGCCTGACAACACGTAACCCGCCCAGAGTAACCTTTGACCCACCTCGTGTGGACTGACCAATGAGGAGAGGGTCTTAACTTGAGGCCCTCTCTTCATTGGTCAGTCTGCATGAGACTGACTCTCAACTGACGTTCAGTCGTAGGCAGCGAAGCGTCTCTGTGCAGCGCAAAAGCCCAGGTGGACAGTTTGTTTAATGTAGGGTGACCATATTTCCATTTCCAAACAAGAGGACAGGGGATCTGTGCCTATGACGTCACACTATGGCAACGCCACACAAACCATGTTGGGACCCAATTTTTGTAAGAACTAAATTAATATCAGATTCTGCCAATAAAAGGGCTCTAAAACAATTCATATGTAAATATTTTGCATATTTAATGCAAAATCTAATTTTTCTGCTTTAGTGCTGCAACAAGGTTTTATTAATAATAAATTATTATACCTTTTGTTTTACTACAGCATCGGTAAGCTTCCTGTGCACAGATTATTAAGGATGCTTGTTTCAGCTGTGAGATTAGACGATAGGATCAATGAAAAAATAAGTTGTCACAAACTCCATGGAAACTTTCAGAGAATCCACAAATAGTGGCTTTCAAATGGTTTTGTTACTTTTTGCAAGTTTAGAAAAGCAGCAGATGAGACAGCATGTCTGATAATTTAGTTTTTCATCTGATAATATTAGAGCATGTCAGTAATGTCTGAGGGGCTTTTATAAACACTGTATAACTAATACTCCTGGAGAGGGTATGGATTACACAGAGGCCTCTGGGGAGCCCAGTTATGGGGGGGGGCATTTTGCCTTGGCCCCCAAAATGTCTTGAAACGGCCCTGGGTGTGTGACTGAGTTTTGAAGGTGATCTGAATTGTATCAGATGTATAAATATGACATGTGTATAACTTGTTGTTTTTTACTGGTAAAAACGTGTAGTGGAGATAAATCTACCTACATTTTACTTTGTTTTCTTGTTTTTATTGAACTATTTTCCTGTCCTGTCTGTCTCTCATCTTCCTGCATCTCCTCTTAATTCTCCAGAAAAACTGCTGCCTGGATTCTTACCTTTTCACCTCATCAGTTACTTTTGAGCAGATCAAAGGGATCTCCTGACCGAAAAGCGCAGAGCGCGTTTTCGATGCTGCGTGAGGTGACATCACCACAGCACAGGTGATGAGCTCCGCAGTAGCGAGCTTCATGCACAAATAAGACAGAAAATAGAGAACATGTGCGGACAAGAACGATCGTGTGCAAACTATAGTTTTTTGGTTGCGCCACTTTGAGAATGGACCGTGCGCTGGAAGCAGCTGCCTGGATCGTTGCGCAACAATGCGGAACCGGTTCGCAGCAGCGCAAGTCTGCCGGCTCTCCCTCGCGCTGATCTGCCGGCTCTCCCTCGCGCTGATCTGCCGCTGATCTGCGGTTCTCCCTCGCGCTGATCTGCGGCTCTCCCTCGCACTGATCTGACTTGCTCTGGTCTGCGCGCAACGGCGGGCGGGAAGGGGGGGCGCTTTTGGAAGAGTTGTGCGACACAACGAATCGATGACGCAATTCGTTGCCAACGCTTTTAGTAATCGATTTTCATCAAATTTATCGATTCGTTGTTGCAGCCCTACCTGAATGACAACAAGAAAATAAACCCTACTATAACATTTATGTAATTGAACCAAATGACCATATGACCATTTGCTTAAATCCAAAATGTAAAAAAATTACTTAATGCCCATATTTAACATCCAAGCACTCTGAGGGCTAGCTTTCAGGGCTCAGGGACAAACGCTCACCACTGTCGTTGCTCTTTTCAGAGAAGACCGACTTGGATGAGAAGATGCTGGCTGTCTCGTTCTGTTTCGTTGCAGGAGCAGGCCTTTCAGAGGCAGAAGAAGTTCAGGAGTTATTAAAATATTCAGCAGAGAAACAGTAAGCTCATGTGCTAAACCTTACTTGGTCTTCTGCTGTTTGGGTGGGCAGAAAGAGTCTTCATTGTTGTCATCTTCATCCTCATCCTCATCATTTTGGTCGCTGTATTGGTCCTTGGATTCTGAGAAACCAAAGTCATCCTTGACGGACCTCACAGGGGATGAAGCCACGTTGTCGTCACCGTTTTCCTCTTCATCTGCGTCCTCCTCCTCCTCTGAGAAGTCAAACGTGTATTTTGGCTTGGAAGCTGGAAGAGCAGAGCAGAGCGAGTGTTCAGAACACATTTCTGTTGCAGGGGGTGCTGGTGTGATTATTTTGGTTGCAGCTGAGTTGCATCAGACGGAGCAGTCTGACACTCGAAATGGACAAAAACTAATCACTAATTTTGGCTGCGGGAGGTTCAGAGACAAGCAGCTCCGTGTGAATCCACACGAAAAGCTCCTAGCCGAGATGTCTCAGGACAAAACAAATCCACCCTAAATAAACGCTGTAACGAACTGGCTAAAACGATGAGGTCATAAACATTTCATTTCAACTGTGACACACACCACCTCATTATGTTAAAAAGCAACCGCAGCATTATTTCCTGTGTTGTGGAGGCGAATGCCAGAGCTTTGGGAGTTCTTCAATACGGAGTAAAGGAATTTCCTGTAGACTCATAATTGTGTGTGTTTGAGGTCTCATTACTACACAAACACAATTAGAATGTTACACACCCACACCCACACACCCACACACACACACACACACACACACACACACACACACACAGCCCTGGACCCTTTGGGACAGAGGTGCATGATGGGACAGGGAGGTTGTACCTGATGCTCTCTGAGACTTGGTCTCTCTGGGAATGATGGGCTCGTTTTCCTCCAGGTCGCTGTCAGACTTGGACTCATCGTCCGACCAGGGGTTTCTCTTCTTCACCTTCTTAACTGAAGCACCTTTGGGTGCGGGAGGTTTCCTGACTCGGGGAGTTCCTGCAGCACGTTTAACGGAGTCTTTAGTCATTGTAAAATTCCATCTGAAGCTTCACCACTCTCACTCTGAAGTAAAACGACTTACCCGGCTCTTTCTTCTCCTTCTTCACTCGTGGGGTTTTGGGTTTGGACACTGAGTTTTCTCCAGCTGCTCCTTCACCTCCCAAACCATCATCATCTAACTCCATCTTAACAGCGTCTAAGTCACTCTGAGGACAGAAGACACGCTTTGATCAGCCTGGATTTCCGGGGTGTTGCTGCAGCTACAACCATCACAGCTGCTACCTTCTTTTTCTTGCCGAGTTTTTTGGCTGCATCCGATTTTATTGGCTGGGTGGGCGGATCCACCCTACGGCCAAACGGTGAAGGCATGGTCTCCTCCAGGTTCATCTTCTTGGCTTTAGGTTTGCCCACTTTACCCTTCACCAGTTTGATGGCCTTTCCTGAATTCTGCTCTTCTTTCTCCATGGTCTCCACATTCTGTCAAACAGATTGTTTACAACATTTGTGTTTTGCACATGTTTACTTTACATTTTATGAGAATATGACAGTAAAGGCTATTTTTTTCAGTGGCCATCTACTGCATCTCACATCTAGCTCCTCGATGAAGACAGCCAAGTCCTCCTTCCACAGATCCTCAGAAGATTTCTTCTGCAGATTGTTGAGTTCACTTCTCTATAAAACACAGACATTTACTACACACCAGTGACTCTGAATTGTCATCAGGTAAACAGCTTCGTTACAGAAGGATGTGTCATTTTTAGGTGACAAACAAACAAATTCCATCTACCTCGGCTAATAGATCTATAAAGTCAGCTGATGGTGTATACCTTCTGATCCCTTTGCTTGAGCAACTCCTCAACCTTCTCTTTAGTCAGACACCACAGAGGCATGTTGAGGATGTAGTTGAAGTTTGGACCAGACGTGGGGCCAGAATCCACCGAGCTGTCACTGTCATTCGCATCAGGGTAGTCTTCCTCCTGGGCCTGTCTCAGAACCACAAGAAGTCAGCAGCGCAGCGCAGCAGCAGAGCAATGAGAACCTGACACCAATTGATGCTAAAAATAGCAATGATTGGATATCTGGGCTTTTCATCATGAACCCAGCATCAGCACCAGTTTACTCGTCAGCTCCAGGTGAGTGATAGTGTGTCCAAATATGTGTTAGTGTGTCCAGATGTGTGTGTGTGTGTCCAGAATGTGTCTGTGAGTGTGTCCAGGTGTGTGTTAGCATGACTAGGTGTGCGCGCGAGTGTCCAGGTGTGTGCTAGCATGACTAGGTGTGTGTAAGCACAACCAGGTGTGTGTTAGCATGACTAGGTGTGTGTAAGCACAACCAGGTGTGTGTTAGCATGACTAGGTGTGTGCGCGAGCGTGTCCAGGTGTGAGTTAGCATGACTAGGTGTGCGTAAGCACAACCAGGTGTGTGTTAGCATGACTAGGTGTGCGTGCGAGTGTGTCCAGGTGTGTGCTAGCATGACTAGGTGTGTGTAAGCACAACCAGGTGTGTGTTAGCATGACTAGGTGTGTGTAAGCACAACCAGGTGTGTGTTAGCATGACTAGGTGTGTGCGCGAGCGTGTCCAGGTGTGAGTTAGCATGACTAGGTGTGCGTAAGCACAACCAGGTGTGTGTTAGCATGACTAGGTGTGTGCGCGAGTGTGTCCAGGTGTGTGCGCGAGTGTGTCCAGGTGTGTGTTAGCATGGCTAGGTGTGCGCACGAGTGTGTCCAGGTGTGTGTGAGCATGACCAGGTGTGGGTAAGTACAGCCAGGTGTGTGTTAGCATGACCAGGTGTGTGTAAGCACAACTAGGTGTGTATTAGCATGACCAGGTGTGTGTAAGCACAACCAGGTGTGTGTTAGCATGACTAGGTGTGTGCGCGAGTGTGTCCAGGTGTGTGCGCGAGTGTGTCCAGGTGTGTGTTAGCATGACTAGGTGTGCGCGCGAGTGTGTCCAGGTGTGTGTGAGCATGACCAGGTGTGGGTAAATACAGCCAGGTGTGTGTTAGCATGACCAGGTGTGTGTAAGCACAACCAGGTGTGTGTTAGCATGACCAGGTGTGTGTTAGCATGACCAGGTGTGTGTAAGCACAACCAGGAGTGTATTAGCATGACCAGGTGTGTGCGAGTGTGTCCTGAAATGCTTGTGTGTCCAGGTGTGTTGCACCTTTTCCTGAGCTTTGGTCCAGGCAGCGACCGGGTCAGATTCGTAACCTTTCTGCACCAACATGCGGATCAGTTCCCGTTTAGATTTGTTCTCTACAAGAAACAATGGAGGGAGTTGGATGAAGCCTGAACAAGTAAACCTCGTCAAAAGTTACTGTCATTATTTTAGAAGTAAAGGGTAAATCAATGTTGACAGTTGAACTAATGACGTGTATTTTTTATTGATTTTGAAAAGATGCACTCGGATGTTCAGAATGGTACCTATAGAAACTTTTCCTTCTATTTTCTCCAGCACAAAGCGAGCCTGATTGGACAGTTTGGCAGCCTCAGATCCGAGACTCCCCACCAGCCAGTCTTTCCTCAGTTTGTAATAATGCAGACGGAGTTCAAAGAATTCCTTCAGGATGTCCTGGACTGAGTCATACCTCTTCAGACACCCCATGTGGTCAAACAGAACCTACAAAACAAACCGGTCAAACTAAATGACCCACATCACCCAAAGGAGGAAGTAACCCTAACTGGTACCAATTCCCTTTTTTTTACCATGGAGTTGCACGTGAGGCTGGACTGCAGTTTGAAGACTTTATGGAGACCGACTGCTTCAGCTTGAGCCAACTTCTCCTCAGACATACGAACCACGAACTTCACAGTGGTGTCTGTGTGGTATTCCTTATAATCATTGATAAGAGCCGGGGTCTTGTCGGTGCCTTGCAGCATGGGCTCCAGCACAGACTCCTTATAAGCCTGGACACAAAAGTCAGAGTACAGGTTCACACCTACCATCCATCCAGATGTTCCTACACCTATTCATCCAGCACAAACAGACGTTAGCCTTACTGAAGCTGCTGATGTAAACCAGAAACTGTTGTCTCCTTAAAACGAGACCTCTAGATAATCTCCTGCCTCTTATGACACAAACCTAGGGATGGGTACCTTTGACATTTGAACCGATCCGGTACTAATTCCCGGTACCTACGAATCGATACCGGTACTTAACGGTACCAATTTTCGATACTTTTGAGTGTTTCATATTTTAATTCTCTTTTATAATTAGATATATATTTTTCTCAATATATAACAATATTTGATAAAAATCACGATAAATAACATACAACTGTTTGTATTTTAACATCGTCCTTGTAGTTTTATAAGCTGATAATTAAACTGAGGCAAACATCTTTACTGTGAACTAAATTTACTGTGTATCTTCATTCCTTTTGCCGTCCTTTTTCATTTGATTTTTCCTACTGGGAAGATAGAATTTCCGAGGAGAAAGCGAACGCACCATTAGCTGATAACAACGGTGGCAATGGAAGCTAACATATCAAGCTAACGTTATCTTTAACACTTTATTTAGCTGCTGGAGCAGATTAAAACGATGATGCCTCACACTTAGATCGTTGTCACTGGTTTCATCTTCACCCAATCACCCATCGCATTTAGTAAAGTGAAGCCAAACTTTAGAGCGCGTTCATGTTCTTCTAGTCAGAATTTCGGAGTTCCGAGGAGAAAGCGAACGCACCATTAGTGAAACGGAAGCTAACAAATCAAGCTAACATTATCTTAAACATTTTATTTACCTACCGGAGCAGATTAAGATGAGGATGTCTCACCTAGATCGTTGTCGCTGGTTTCATCATCACCCAGTTACCCATCACATTTAGTGAAGTAGACCCAAGCTTTAGCGTGCGTTCTTTCTACCATGCTGCTCTGTTTACAACTCGCTCGCATCGACCTATGACATAACGCTCTTGCGCATGCGCAGCTGTCTAGGCAAGTTCTCGTTATGATGGACGGATACCGAAACAAGGCACCGTTTGAAACAATGTGCTCGGTCGGTACCTTAAAAAGTACCGAATTCGGTACCCGTCCCTACACAAATCACACTTTTCTTTTTGCTGTCTTCTCTCCTGTAACAAACGTTAATGTTAGCCTTAAAGTGAGCAGAAGCTGAGTGGTACCTGAGTCCACGTCCGCACAGGAAGCTCTGTGATCTCCACCGTGTTTTTGTCCAGGACCGACACTTCTCCACTGACCAGGTACTGGTTGTGTCCCAGCTCATGGATAACCCCTTTGAAGTTTTTGTAACTGGGAAGCTATAATTACACAGACACATGAGGCATTACACTGAGATACACACAGAAAGCACCATTTCATTTAATGTAGGAGAAAATATCTTCAGAGGTTTCTAAACCAAGAAGATGCTTCTGGTTCCTGGAATGATTTTTGTTCACTCAGCACTCAGGTTCACATAGCTGCCTCTTTAGCTTAGACTAGGAACATTTATGGACTTGAACTAAGCTTTAGATGTTTCTGCTCAGAGCCCACTAGCATCAGTAAAAAAGATCTAGCTAGGGCTACATGGACGCTAGAACATCATCAGTCCCTGTGGCTGGAGTTCAAACTGACCCTGGCCCTAAAATGAATGAGTTTTACATCTTTGTTCATTAAAACGGTCGACTAACTGATAGATTTCTAGATGTAAATGTTTAGCTTTTGACAGTACACACACACACACACACACGCGCGCACACACACACACACACACACACACACACTTCTTGTCCGCAGTGTTTATTTTTACCATTGGCAGGGGGTCCTGGTGGTTTAGCATCCTGTTGATGTTGTTAACGATCTCTCTGGTGTCGTAGTTCGGGATCTTACAAGCCCAGCCCGTCCCGATGCCCTCGGCGCCGTTCACCAGAACCATGGGGATGATGGGAATGTACCACTCTGGCTCCACCTTCTGGTTGTCGTCGTACAGGAACTTCAGTAGGTTGGAGTCCACCGCTGGGAACAACAACTTGGCAAGAGGACTGAGAAAGGGAACAGCACCATGACACCAGTTTTTAACTGTTAGTAAAACAGCTAAACCCATGAAGATGACTGGTTTAGAGAACATTTAGGATAAAATCAAGAACTTTCTAAAACAAATCAATAAAGCTAGCATTACTCTTTGTTACCTGAGCATGGTGAAGATGTAACGAGGGCTGGCAGCATCTTTCCCTCCATTAATGCGAGTTCCAAACTGACCCAGTGGCTGCAGAATGTTTACGTTGTTGCTCCCCACAAAGTTCTGGGCCAAGTTCACGATGGTCATCATGAGAGCTTGCTACAAGACAAACAGGAAGTGGACACTCAACAATAAAATGAGGGAATTATTATTAGTAAATAATTTGTCACTTGTCTAGTTAAGAGCAAGTTAATATAGTAAAATGAACTTGTGTGATTAAAAGGTATGTGAGTCGAGAGGTACCGTTGTCGTGTTTAGTACGGGTGTTTGAACATGTGTGATGTATGATGAAACGTTGTTTACTTATGTGATAAATACACCAATAACATGAAACAGACTATTAGAGGGTGGGGCTGGCTCTTAACACCACTGCTGAAGTACGTGGAGTAACTTCACCTCTCCGTGATGGTAGGCAGACATCTCAGCCACAGAACCGGCCAGCTGAGCAACCTTCACTTCTCTCTTGTCATTCCTCTTCACACAGGTGAACAACACCTTCCTTTGACCTGGCTTTAAGCCTGACATCAACACACTTATGAACATAATCATCACAACATCCTGCTTGTCAATAATACAAAAGCCTCGTAAACACATGTTCTAGGTTGTTTAGATGTACAAAGGTAGAAAATACACACACCATCGACTAAGGATGGGATGGATCTCTCATTGTCAGAGTTGGAGAAGAGAATCAGTTCTTTGTTGATGAAGTCGTTGTACGACAGGTGTTTGGCCTGAGTTCCATAAAGGTATTGCTGTAGGTGATAATGAGGAGGAAAAGGTTTGAGAAGAAACATCATTTATTACAAATGACCAGGTAAAGAACAGATGTGATGTCAGACACAAACCTCTGGAAGGCCGTGCATCCTCCTCTGACGTCTGTCCTCCATGAAGTTTGTCAGCCACTCCTTCCTGTCATCGGTTTTCTTTTTGCTGAACGCCTGGAACAAAAGCACACAGCTGCAGCCTCCATGGACTCAAACACACTGAAGTTCCTTGTGTGTAGGGTTGTCACGGTGTGAAAATTTAACCTCACGGTTATTGTGACCAAAATTACCACGGTTTTCGGTATTATCGCGGTATTTTTTTTAAACGTGCTACATTTTCACACAATTAAATAAATCCTGTATGTCAGGAAATATTGTCCTCAGTTTGTGTCTAAATTTTGCCTAAAATGTGTTATTTTGTAATTATGTTGTTTACTTTTTTACATTTTTCCCTTTAGTCTTTAAAATAGCAATATTTGCCCATAACTTCTTATTTTATGTCTGTTTGATGTCATCATTTAAAAATATTAGATCAGATGATACTCAGTACTCAAGTAGCCTTCTAATCAGATACTTTTTTACCCTTACTTGAGCAATCCGTATATCAGGAAAATATTGTCCTCGGTTTGTGTCCTTCCAGTGAGCTTTTTAGATGTGGGGAAAATGTCATCAGGCAGTAATCATTGTTAAATTCATAATTATTCTCGGAGAGAGACCAACTCTTATCTGCCCCTGGGAGCCCCGTAATGCATAGCGTCATTTCAACATGGGGGTGTCCGCGACACGGTTTATATGCAGGTGGCGGCGCTGCGGCTGCTTGATATAGCGACTCGTTGCATTCTCCCTCAACCCAAATCCTCGGATCATGCATTTTAGCTAAAACGCTAACGTTAACTTGCCTTGCGTTGACTGTAGAGTTGTGGGTGATGGTCACGCAGATGTGTCATGAGATTTGAAGCGTTGCTGCCTTTCACAGACACTTTTTCTGCACGTGCTGCAAACAGGATAGCCGTCTTCTATAAACTGTCCCTCGGCATTCTTCAAATATCCAAAAGATGCCCGTACTTCCCACTTTGTCTTCTTTGAGGGATAAAAAATGTCCTCCTGAGTGCTGCCGTCTCCTCCTTTGGCCATTATTTCAGCTTAAGCTTCAAGAAAGTTTTGGTCATAAACAACAAAGTGCGCTTGTGCCGCCGGCAACTTCAGCCGATGATACGGTGGCTGGTAAGGGTCACGCGCCTACACCGCAGCCACGGTAATCCCAACAAGATAATATAGTTTTTTAAAACAAGACGGTTATTATTATTGTCAACTTTTTTACCGGGGTTTACCGCTACACCGGTTACCGTGACAACCCTACTTGTGTGTCTGCTTTGCTCTGCTGTCTACGGCGTTCCAGCTGCTAACATGATACATTTCACCTGGGATGTGCAAGTCATCACATTTTCATTTCAATGCTGGCTCCTAAAGTCTGCAGAAACAACACAAAGATCAAAAGTTAAAGATCTAGTGCTGGGAGCCGTCTGGCAGCAGGGTCTGTCTCACAGCTTCTGCAGTAATTCTGTTAAATAATCACCAAAATCAGCAGAATTACAGTTTCTGTCACTACTTAAGGCGCTATGCTTCACAATGTCCCACGTGACAAAGTTCCTTACTGGGATTATAAAGAATATTTTAGATTTGAAATCTGTTTCATAATAACAATGATATTATTGTACTTTTATAAAGCGCTTCCTCCAAAGTCCTTTGTTCGTTCACACACTGATGGTGTGAAGCTGCTGTTGCACAGGGACACAGAAGAAAGGTAAATCTCCTGCCTCCTTAATCCCAGACCCTCAGATTACAGCCATCTTTGAGTTTATGAGGTCAGCTGACTGTGGCTGCCTTGTTGGGAAAGGTCAACCCAAAGCTACTGAGCTTTAGATGTAAAGAAACCGTTTTAAATCAACACTAAACACAACACTGAGCCAATCAGGAATCCAGACCTTGTAAACAGACTCTGTACCCTGTTGGGGGTTTGGACTCACAGAGCTGTAAAACCAGAGGTTACACTCACCAGAGTGATGGCGGCATCGTCCTCAGCACCATTATACCGGAATGTGATTCGATGCCTCTCCATGTCAGCAAAGTACTCCTTAGCCTCTTTGCTTGTGCTTGTACCCAAACCTGAAACATAATTTGTGAAGGAAACTGTTGATGTGTGAAAAGACTAGTGAAATGTCATCCTCTCCATCTACGACAAACCTTTGTAGTACTTTATATGCCAGGTTTTAAAGTTCTCGGTTTGTTTCTTCCACTCCTCAAACTCTGGCAGGCTGTAGAAAGCCAGCTCCTGCTTGTTCTTCGTGGCCTGCAGATGAAAGATAATTCACCTGAATGGTGGGTTTCCTTAGCGTCTGGCTGGTTAGAGCAGGTTTATGTCGGTTGTTCTCTTACTTTGACAATCGGTGTGATGAACTGCTCCAGGAAGGTGTGTTTGAGCAGGGAGGGCCAGTTGTGGTGGAAGAAGTTGATGAGCAGACCTTTGATATGGGAGCCATCTTGATCCTGATAAAAAACAGCTGTCAGAGCCTCAGCTGACACCTGTAGGCAGGGGTGCTGCCAGAATTTCTGGGCCCCCTATATATATATTTGGCGCTGTCGGCCCCTCTGACCACCACTAACACAGGCAAGTTGGGTGAAGTGTCTTGCCCAAGGACACAACAGCAGGGTACCCCTGGCGGGAGCTGGAATCGATCCCATGACCCTCCGATCATGAGGCAACCCGCTCTACCACCTGAGCTCTACCACCTGAGCTACTGCTGCCCCAATCCCCGGCCTAGGGTCATGAAGGTGCTATTAATGCAAGATAGCTTAGTCCAGGTTTGAAAAGTCAAAGTATTGTAAACATATAATTAGAGTAGAGTAAAAATGCTCAGGGAGTGGAAATATTTGTTAGAATTGCCATTTCTGCCTCTGAAACCAAAAAAGGGAACCAACTTCAGATTAATCTGGTACGTCTTTTATAATAATTTAATCTTGCGTTCTTGATTAGGAGAAAGAAAGAAGTCAAGAAGCAATCTCTGAGTTGACCCATAAGCAGGGATGATACACATAACTCTAACAGTTGTTTGTGCTCCAGAATGAAGTGTTGATGTGTACAAACCAGATGTTGTAACTCACAGAGGCTGCAGTTCTGTTGTGTGTGTGCGAGCAGATCGCACGGCGGGAGCAAGCTTGTAATGAGTTCATGCGTTTTTGACGTTTGGGCGGCGCGGAGCGTTGGAGAAACGCATTTAAACAATGGAACCGACCGGAATACTGATGCAACACCGGTGCACAACGGAGCGGGACTCAATTAGCAACAGGACGGGGGGGGGGGGGGGCAAACACAGCGAGAGAAACACGGAGGGACCAGACTGATAAAGACGTTTTTCAGCTACGCTGTAGAAAGAGTGTGTGTGTGTTTAACCTCCTCATTAGAACAAGTGTGGGTGTTAAAACATCCACAAGCCCCTTGGGGGCGACGCTCATGGTTACGCTAGCGAGCAGCTCGGACAGACAGGTGGAATGAACCGTAGTAAAGGGGAGGGGTGTAACTGAAGCAGTAAACACAATATTTGTTAAAAATTAAATCTATGGTCAAAATAGACTAAATACACATTAAGTGCAGGAGGGCCCTAGCACATTTAATGTGTGTATTAAAAAGAGAAAAGAAGTAAAGAGAAAAAGAGGTCTGCTCCTCTGGGCCCTTAGAATCGTCCTAACCTTTCACCTTTACCACCCACGCCTGTGGTGTGTGTGTGTGTGTGGGGGGGGGGGGGGGGTCACCTGATCTGTCATGATCATGATCCTGCCATAACGCAGGCTCCTCAGAGACTCTGGGTCGTCGTAGCTCTTCTTGTACTGCAGCCCAACGATTTTGATGATGTTGTTTATTTCAGCATTTTCCATAATCTGTAATCAAAACAACAACTCACAAGCTGATGCAGAACGATCCTCCTAAAACAAATCCTGTCTGATGAATGTGAGCTAACTGAGGCCTAGAAGAGCATGCTTGAACAAAATCTGATTTTTATATGATAACAAGCAAAGGTCCTATTGTTTTAACTGTGGCTTTACTGGGAACCTCCAGCTATGATGCTGTTGTGGAGACAGGACACCCGGGGGCACCCCCCCCCCCCCCCCATCTCCTTCAATTACATGGAAACAGCAGACAGGAAGTGCCTGTGCTATTATTAGTAACACCTTTCTGGCTGATAGAAAATCAATCCGTCTCACAGAAATGTTCCCAGTCCACTCATAAAAACGCTTTCATGAAGCCACAACGGCGGAGCTGCTGAACTCATGTTTGAACCTCTGATTTTATTTTCTGAGGGGTGTTACTGGTTTATTTAGAGGAGTGGTTTTAAACCTCTGCTGTAAAACAGCCTGTTTCACTTTAAGTGTTTCAATAAATTGCTGCTCGGAAAATGTTTTATCTCTTCTTGTTGTACGTCGGAGCTCTACTTGGAACCTTGTGAAGATCCAAGAGGACATTGTCCTACAGGGATCAAACACGTCCTGCGTGAGACCGACCAACATTACCCAGTATGGCTGATGTGCTCGGGGGGGGGGGGTAACCCTGCATGTTTAAGTGGAGAACGTCTTACACTGTTTAACAATCACATCTTCACCGTGGCACACCTCTGTTGAAGGTTCATAAATCCAATGAGAGGTTCTCAGATTGTTCATGTGACGTTTGGGATTTCCCCAGCTACTATCATTTTTTTACATCACTGTCCAGGTTCTTACCTGCTTGTGCGTCGCCTCTCGCACATTCAGAATCTTTCCTCTCAGCGGGAACACGCCGTAGCGGTCACGTCCGATGACTCCCAGCCCAGAGACAGCCAGAGACTTGGCTGAGTCTCCCTCAGTGAGGATGAGTGTGCATTCAGAGGAGTATCTGCCACCTTAGTGAGGAACAAGAACATGTATGTAATATTAATGCTGTAAAATCTAAAACAAGCAAATCAGATTAATGTAAAGCCACTGTCCAAAATGAGTGAGCGCTTTCAACCAGGTGCTGGGTAAAAGGCTGCCTGTGAGTTAGAGAGACTCGGTAGGAACATCATCATAAATTCTAAAAGTAAATTCATCCCCTATTTTTCTATTTGATAAAACAAATGTAGAGTCCAGTGAAGTCCAGCAATGTATCTGTAGTTTTTAAGATCAGTGAGATGAAGGATGAACTGGAACTGGTCTGTTTCTCACTGGTCCACATCAGGGTTCAGCATTTCAGCCAAAACCAGAACTGCTGGAACGGTCGGCAGCACCTGCATCGTTGGCGTCGTCTAGCTTGGGAATGCCTTTGATCTTGCTGTGTTTGACAGACGAGCACTTCTTGTTCAGCTGTGTCTGAGCTTTGAACTTCACCCAGTTGAGGATACTTTCTACAATGCCACAGTTGGTCGCCTGGGTGTGAACAGAAACAAAGTCATTTCGTAGACTGAGAATCAACAAACAGAGGAGCAGGGCAGAGGTGTCCGTACCGCTCTGACAAACTTGTCTGACATCAGGCATTTAGACCCAAAGTTCTTAGTCTGAAGGGTCATGTTCTCCTTGGTCTGGGAGTCAAAAGTTGGATTCTCGATCAGCGCATTCACAAAGACCCAGATGTGGTTCTTCACCTGGGAAGCAGAGAGAATGAAAAGGTTAAATTGTTTGTAAAACACTTAAATCTGTTTGTTTTAAAACCTCAGTGTGGCTACCTGGAAGGGTTTGACTGACACGCCTGCTTTGTTCTTCTTCTTTACCACTTCAATAAGTTTGGTCACAATCTGGTCCACCACGTAGTCAATGTGTCTGCCACCCTGAAACATGCACATCGTCTCAGGAACACTTCTAGCTCGTGCGCTAACTGACTACAGCTGATCTTAGCAGACCTTCGTTGTGGCGATGCTGTTAACAAAGCTTATCTGTTGGAAACCTTTCTCGCTCATGGTGAGACAAACTTCCCACCGCTCATTCACAGTTTCATGCACCACCTTCAAGGGGACACCAGTCTCGTCCAGTTTGTCCTTCACATACAGATCCACGTAGCTGCGGAACCCGTGGACCTTAAGCATCAGAGACAAAAACAGAATTCAGATTCTGAAAATTCACATTGGTGCTCCTGATAGGCTGGTGCTTATGTCTAACAGGCCAGCAGTCAGGGTACACCGCGGACAGGTTGCCAGTCCATCGCAGGGTAACACAGATACACGCAGGACAAACAGCAATGCACACACACACACACACACACACACACCCCTACCTAAGGACAATTTAGACAGACCAATTAACCTTTTGGACTGTGGGAGGAAGCCGGAGAACTCGGAGAGAACCCACGCATGCACAGGGAGAACATGCAAACTCCTTGCAGAAAGACCCCAGGCCGGGATGTGAACCCAGGACCTTCTTGCTGCAAGGCATCAGAACTAACCACTACACCACTGTGCAGCCCGAAATGAAAACAAAATCCAAATCGTGAAGAGGTGAGTCCAGGTAATGCCCCTTATGTTGACTGTTATGGAAGCATTACCCCAAACGATAGCTGAAATCTCTCTGCAGGGGGACTAGAGCAGTAGAAAGTGAAATGTGTGATGTGAAGAAAGAAAGACGAAGATACTCACAGGTAGTTTTTTTCCATTGAGAGAGACTTTGACCCCTTTGCAAGAGCCAGCTACATCATACGCTCTGCGGGTCAGGAGCGCTACAATATCCTTGTCCAGTTTCTCCATCTTGAACTTCTCCAGGTCCGGCTGGAATGTCACACATGTGAAGTCATCTCCATCAAAGAACTTGATCTTGGGCTCAGAGGTCTTGCACATGTTGTTTTGCCATGTCTGAGGAGAATCGAGCACAAAGTAACGCACCTGCAGTGGCTGAAGAGACCAGCTGACTTACAACAGAATAAAACATCCTAAATGTGCACGGACCACCATCAGGTGTGCTTTGACCACATCCCCAAACACCCAGTAGGTGCACAACACTGCAAAGTGGAACCTTACCTTAAGGCTGAGCGCATGTCAAGATCCTATAAAAACAGCAATTACTACTCCACAGATAAGCAGCAGGAGATCTGACACCTGCAGCAGCATCACCTATCTGCAGCAGCGCTAAATAAAAGTGTTGGTGCAAAACTACTGACACAGGAAGGTGGTGGAGGTGTGTAAAATCATCAGTGGGACTGTGGGGTGGTGAGTGGACACGCACTCTGATTCACTGCTTTTTAAATGTTTAACGAAGCTCTTCTTCAGCCTCAGTAACTGATTAAAATTACAGCAAAGTTAAGGTGAGATGAAAGAATACACTGATGTAATGACCTGTGATTACAGACACGTACGACCGTGTAGCCCGCGGGCTGACCCTACCCACCTGCTTGAAACTGTGCCTGTACTCTTTGCAGGCCGTTTCCACGGTGAACTTGGTGCTGAAGATGTTGCAGAGTTTAGCACCAAACCCGTTCCTTCCACCTGAAAGACATTTTCAAACAGATCTTCATTCAACAAGCATCTCTGCTGAGTAAGTAAGGCTGGGCGACATACAAAAATGTTCGTCTACAAAAATGAAAATGGGTGATTAATTTGAGCACGATATTTAGCGTTTAGAGGACTCACATGAATCTTGTTATGTATGTGTTTATACTTAGTGTTCTTTGATGTGGATGTTTGCAATGTCCCACCTGTGGGACTAATTCATAGGTGTAAAAAAAAATTGCTCCTAAAAAAACCATCAGAGTGACTATTGCTGATCGATAAATTCACCCAATCTTATAAAGAACCCTCCATGAGTCCAAATCTCCTGACTAAACTCCAGCTGCTACTTAGCAGGGGATGCGTTGTCCTGGTGTCTCGGTGTTGTGGTTCGGTGACAGAATCAGTTCTCCGTTGCCGTCGTGAGAGGAGGGTGTGACTGGAGCGCTGAGCTCTTGGGTTACGTTTAACATTAATGCTGTAGAGTCGTCTACAGGGCTCGTTCTAGACTGTGCTGTTCAGCTGTTCAGACCCCCCCCCCCCACACACACACACACACACACGCACGCACACACTCAGTGAACCTGAATCGATTCTGAAATTGTGACTTGTTTGCACAGAATCAGGACATGATGTGAAATCAGTCATGTGATCCTGTCAGCTGATCTCACCTGTGACCTTCTTCTCATCATCGTCATAGTTACTGGAGGTGAGCAGGTGCCCAAAAATCAGAGCCGGAACATACATCTTCTCATCTTTATGCTCAACCACAGGAATGCCTTTGCCATTGTTCCAGATGGAGATCGTGTTCGAGTCGCTGGAGGAACAGAGAGGCAGTTGGAGGTTACACCTGATTATTCTGATTTATTATCCCTTTTATCATTTGTGCATCCTGGAACACCTGTAGTGAAGCCCACGTTTTATAGAAAATGAACTCTATGACAGGAAGCAGGGATGTGTATTGTTGAAATTCTGGCGATACGATACATATCACGATACAGGGGAGACGGAACGATATATCACGATATATTGCAATACATTCAGTCAGACGTTACAAGCAATTTTTTTTACTGAATTTATTGTAAGAATGTTCAATAAACTGTCCAAACTGATACGTAACATGTTTAACATGAGGTATCTGACCCATGATGGAGGGATTTACATTTTAAATAGTGGAAACAAAACCCGTTGCACACTGCTGCCAACTAGCGGGTGGCGATTCAATTGCACAAAACGAAAAGAAAATACACAAATGTTTGCATGTAAATTCTTTCAAAGATTAGATACACGGCATTTGAATATCGATGTAATAATCGCAGGGAAAAATATCACGATATATTGCCATATCGATATTTTCTTACATCCCTAACAGGAAGTGTCAAAACTTCTATATGTTGGTAATAAAGACCATTTTCGGTCCATCCTGCTGCAGCATTTATCAGCTTGGTAGGGTTGGTGATGCCAAACACACACTGTTAATTTTGTTGATGAAATATTTTCAGGTTTTTGACAAAAACTAAAAACCAACGTCTATCAAAAGAAAAATATGACAAATACTGACATTAATGAAAATCCAATCAGGAAATGGGAACAACGTGTGGAACGGACAAAAGACCCGATCAGCAGATGGAACAGGCGGGACTTGACGAGAAAAGAACCAATCAGAGTCCAGAGCTGGCCGCTGTTTGAACAAGCTGCTTGTTCCAGCTGAGCGTAGCGAGTACAGACCCGGGGTTTCACCTGGTTATAAAAGTGTTGTGGTGCTAGCAGCGAGGTGACGACAGGAAGCATGGCCGAACTGAACTCACGGAGCCGCAAATCTCCTTTTTCATTTTCGTGGTGTAGCGATGACCGATAATATCAGCATTCTGTGTTTTTGTGAGAAAAAAACGTTCAGGCAGCCCAACTTTGCAAATTAGTGCAGGAAAAACTAATAAATACGCCTAAAAACAATTCTTACCTTTAATTTACCTCCTCGCATTCTTAGAGCTTTTAATGTGATGGTATACTGTCATTTCCTGTCCGGTTCACAAATATTACTGCACATTATACAGATTTGTTTACTTTATTATTACTCAGAGGCACAATTTCAACCTGCCAGTGTTCGTTTTGGTATTTTCCATTAATCATTGTTATTAAAACAGTTCTAAATATAAAGTTTTACTGATTCAAAGTGTGAAATGTGAGATTTAAGTAGGTGTTACAATTTCCTTTTCAGGAGGTAAAACTGTTGCATCACAAGAAATATACATATATTCTAGTCGACTAACTTAGACTAAAACTAATTGGATGACAAAATTGTGGCTAAGTTTAGTCAAAAGACAAAAACTGAATTAAAATTTCTTGACAACATTTAAACTGCAGTCTGGACACAAAATGAAAAACTTCCCATTCCAGTGGAGATTTCTGCATCCTGGATTAACACTTTTATCTGGAGACTTCCTCCACTTTCACAGCATTAGCTTTCATGCTACCAGATCCTATCATCCTCACCTGCTGTGTATTTAGGCACCTGGTCTGCTGCTTACACACAGCAAAATGCACATTTACTGTTGTAAATGTACACTGACCTCATACGAGCAACATATCAGTAACACGTGACATGATGACCTTTCTGTTTCTTTAAACCTCCATCAGTCCCGCATTACTGATATTTTAGCAGAGATATAATTTTAAAATCCTGCCAGACCGAACCCCTGGATCTGTAAAACCGTCCAAATTGCTCCATGAAATCACAAAATCATCACAGCGACTGAAGTAGATCAAACAGGATCATTTCTGCAGCAGAGAATCAGAGCCCAGTTAAAGACACCAAAGTAACTGTAGGTATGATCGGCTCTTTATCTACTGACCGAGTTCAGATTAGCTCAACATGAAGATACAGCACAACAAAATAACGGCCCACTCCACTCGATTACACTTGTTTCACAAAAGATGCGAGTCCAACGGCATCGGGTTCAAAACTTGTAATGACTGTACTCACGGGTCGATGGTGATCTTGATACCAGTCATGTTTTTGTCACGTTGTTTGTTGTCCGCTGCATTAACTGTCAAAACAATAAAAGAGCATTTACATAGATTTATACACAAGGAGGCACAAAGCCAGCCTTCTGTAAGGAACAAAAAGATCACATTATTCGATACTGGAGAGATTCCCTCATAGTTGGGTTTAGTTTTCCAAGTGTCAGGAATTCTAGTTAAACCAGTCTGTAGAGCACACACCCTCACAAACGCACAGGTGAAGAGGGACCGAGGCCTAGCTGAGCCAAACTCCTCATCAGTGGATGACGCTCTACCCACTGAGCCTCTGCTGCTCACCAGTCCCAACACAGCCACCAGTAATACACCAGGCCACTTCTAACTACTGCAGTGGATTACACTTTAATAATACAAACATCACCCTTACAGCGGGGACACCTGCTTTATTAACCTTTTGTTTAATTTGACTTCACTTCAGAAAGACAATAAAACAGCCCATAACCCTGACTGTAAGCTGCCACAAATACTATGGTGTTACACGTTTCATCTACCACCATTCAGCTCAGAGGGACTAACCACTGCCCAGTACCACATCAGTGCTGCCCAGTCACATGAAATTTATACTGCAGCTCCATTAAAACCTTCTCCAGTGAATGAGGTGAACAGATCAGATTCACTTACCGAGAATTTCATCAAATATTTTGTAGAGTCCTGGAACATAGGTGATCTCCCTCTGGTTCATCCCTACATCTTCATCAAACACCCACATTTGCTAAAACAGTAAAGAAACAAGCGCATTGAGAGAACCGTACAGAAATCCACAAGCTTGTAAACTACCGTATTTTCCGGACTATAAGCTGCTACTTTTTCCCACGCTTTGAACCATGCGGCTTATGATGAGGTGCGGCTTTAGTCAACAAGAAGGGATGGATGCTGGAAAGTCTAATGAAGGAATGGTTAAAGGAGCGCTACAGAAAGCGCCCAGGAGGATTTTTTTCACAGTAAAACAGCGCTGCTGGTTTCCCCCAGCTTCACCCCGGGATGATGACAGCAACACGGAGAGCGACACTGACATCGCCACAGAAAAGGTATGTGATGAAGCTCTTCTGAGGCTGTTCAACTCCGACACTGAAGAAGATGACTTCAGTGGTTTCAGTGCGCAGGAGGACGATGAATGAACTAATCAATAACTTTTCTGTTTTGTTTGATACTGATCAGTTCAGTTATGTTCAATTAAACTACGTTTTCAATTCAGTAGATATCTGCGGCTTATAATGAGGTGCGCTGTATAGTCTGGAAATTACGGTAACAGGGTTTAGATGTTAAATCAACTCCACGGGAGTTTTTGGCCGCAGTAACAGCTCACCTGGGTGACGGGCTGCAAGGAGCCCACGTATGTGTCTGGACGGAGAAGGATGTGCTCCAGCTGGGTCTTCTTCTGGTACACTCGCTCCACAGATAACTTGGAGGCGGCCTTGTCTTTCTTGGTAACTTCCGTCTTTCCAACGTCTCCTCTGCCATTGGCAGCCTCCTGTTTGACGAGAACAGTTGCTATGAGCAGATAACGTATTTATTCATTCAGAAAACAGCAAGGAGAAGAAAGACTGGTGCAGGCGTTAAATCTGTTTGACTTTTGTTGCCACTGTGAGTCGATGACTATAGGTTGTGTCATTTTATCAGCATTTCCTTTACACAACAAATAATCGTGATGAATGTAAGGAAATAAAGCACCCACTAATCTACCACGTAGGCTAATGTGCTGCTGTGATGAGTGATCAGTACGGCAACACAGAAACAAAATTTTAAAAATAATAAAACAAAGATCAGCCTCAATGAGGCACATTTTGATTAATGGAGCACACTTCCTGACCTGAGGTTTTGCACATCAGATGCACAAAACACCTGACTGTAGATATAATTTAAGACTGCTCGTTTTCCAAATATTTAGGTTTCAAACACAGAAAACACGTCTGACTAGATGCTAGACCCCCGAGGGCTCACGTATAGGTTTGGATTTAGTAGAGTAGAGTATTGTCATTCTAAACAATAATGTAAAAATTACGATATGGTTCAAAAATTAAATTATTACGGTAATTAAACTAAAAAGGCAACACTAATATAATAGATAGACTCATTACACACAAAGCCGGATATTTCAAGCATTTATTTGCTATTAATGTGGTGAATATGGCTTAAAGCTTATGAAAATCTTATTCAAAATCTCAGACAACTAGAATATTGTGAAACAGTTCAAAATTCTAGACTCAAAGTGTCGCACTCTAATCAGCTAATGAATCCAAAACACCTGCAAAGAGTTCCTGAGCCTTTAAAAAGGTTCTTTACTCTAATTTTAATTTATTTGACGTGGTCTTTAGTGGGAATGAATGCCTTCTACGTTGTGCTCAGGGAGGAAAAAAATGCTCAGATTATTTAACTTATTGCCTAATATTCTGACATCTCGCCTCTGATTGGATAACAGCAACATGACTATCACTGAATCGCTTTGCTCTGCAGTGATGTTTTAGCTCCACAAATAAAAGCCTGGAGGAGTTCTGCTGAGTGGTGGAGTGCTAATGCTAACGGTTAGCTTCTACTAGCCGAGATGTTCTTTGCCATTTCCTGGACGCTAAACCAACAACAACCCTCCATGTCATGAGTCAAGACAGGTGAATCCATGAATGTTAAGTGACAGTGTGACGTAGATCTGTCAGAATTTTTAAATCCTCGATTTTCACCGTCTATTTTAGATCAGAAGCTAATGGAGGAGATAGGTGTAGGAGACTATTTTCATGTTTAGCATGCATGAAAAACTCACTTTCAAAAATAAGTAAAAAATAATTTATCAATGAAGGTCTCTCAGTCTAAGCTGAATTACTGAAATAAATGGACTGTTGCACTATATTTTAATTCTTTGAGTTTCACCCATTCATTTTCATTTTATTCCGCACCAACACAATAATTGTTTTTCAAACTAACAGTTTTATTCAAGAAAATAAAAATTTCTGGAAAAACAAAAGCGGACAAAAAAAATTAACATCTGAAAATTAAAGGGACTTTACAGAGTTTTGAATCTTTATGCTCGCGATTGCCCCCTCAGGCCAAAAGCGTAACGGCATCTTCAATAGTAGGCTCGTGCACGAGGCGCGCATGCTGTACGTGCACACTCCTTAAGGAAAATAACAGCTGAGACAGTCCCGTGTGTGTGTGTGTGTGTGTCCCGGAGGACAGAGGACGGGAGAACACGCAGCTAATTAATTAATTTGGTTCTGTACCTTTCTCTTGGGTCAGTCTCCCTGCATGCTCAGATCATTCCCTTCCCTTGCTTGAAAAATTGTTCCAAAATGAAAGTTGAACCCACATCTTTTTTATCTGTGAATACAATGCCGTTCGGCGAGTCTCAAATAAAAATTTGGGCATCTTACTGTAAAAAAAATATACCATTAATGTAAAAAAGAAAGTCTAAAAGAACCATGGTCGCAACAAGATTTGAACCCCAGGTCCTTCTGCACGACAGTCCGACGTCTTACCAGGTGAGCTATAACGCCAGTTGCGTGTTTTGTATCTGTAACTTTTATATCCATGATGATAGCTGAAACATTCAAAGAACGATTCGAAGTGAAAATGGCTATTTTGTTGCTAATTTGCAGGAAATATCTAGATGAAGGTAGCTAAGGGTCCTCAGAAATGTAGCTAGGTTCATCACTAGGCGTTAGGAACAGCGACAAAGTCGCTGAGTTGGCACTACCTCTCTCTCTGCTGCTAAAGCTACGGATAGCAAATGCTACAGGCGATGCCTGAGCGTGAATGCGCATGAAGCAGCCTGCTCGACCCGAGCATCTCTCTTTTTCTGTGATTTTACAGAAAAACAGGCAATCACAGTAAAAATGCCAGGGCTCATTCATACAGGACCAGGGCATTGCAGGAGAATGTATGAAGAAGACATTTATTATTTCTATACATGTTTTGGCTGTCAGACTTCCATAATGCCCCTTTAAAGAGCAAGTTCATCTTAGTAGAGGGCTTTCCACAACTCAATTTTTATGACTCGGTGTCAGACACACGAGCTTTTGACTAACTTATACTTCAGTAAAACAAGATTTTAGGATTTTTTCTTTTACTACTTTACTTTTGTCACAATTATTTTAACAAAATCTGACTCTGGAGATGCCTGAAGAAGAGTTGGAGTCCGGGGTAATAAACATTGATAAACAAGTAATACCTGGTTGTTAATGACAGCAGCAGTGATGAAGCACCTTCAATCAGTTTTGTTTACTTGTTTATTATGAATAAGATCTTTAGCGCTTTTAGGTTTCCCCAGCACTCCGAGCAAGTGATGACTGTTATGTGATTATTATGCTAGGGTTATAAACAATCGAGCAACTTTAATAACGAATGTTGGAGCATCACAGTCCCCAGACACTTTTTGGTTTCCTTTGAGGGTCTGTTGACCTTGTGCCCGGCGTGGGCAGAAAGATAAACACCGGCACGGTGAGGGGTTTAAATCAGCGACCCGGCTTGGGTTAGAGGTGTGCTGCCACAGAAAACAGCGTGAGAACACCAAACACTAGTTAGCATGTCGGTAGCTAGTTTCCAGAACTAACTTACCAACCAGGGGAGACCCCCGTTTCCTGCAGCGCCGTTAGACATCCTCTTTGTGATCCTGAAGTTGTTTTATGATGCAACTCGCAAATGTCTTCAGTTCCACAGAAATGTTAAGTCCGCTAACATCACAAGAATCTCACTCACTAAAACATTCGGGAACCGGGTTTATATCCCATCATCGGTCATTGTTGGTTCGTAAAATAATCCTCGGAATGACTCAAAACGACTAAAAAAATGTAAGCAAATCGCAGCTATTGTTAAAATCGACAAGCGGTGGTACAGCAGGCCTAAACTTTCAACAAAGATGCTAACCGGGTTGCTTGCTAAAAAAATAAATACTGTACAGAGGAGATTAATTAAATAGATTTAAAATTACACGACAAAACGACACAATTTAAAATAATACTTTAGACGTGCTTAAAAATTGCTTATTAATGACTTTTTTTCTTGGAAATAAAAATTTATATTCAGCTAACAGCAGCGCCCAATGTCCGGCTCCGCCATCTGCAAGCTAGACGGCTAATCGTCTCGCGCATGAAGCGACCAATCAGGCGTCTGCTTTTTAAAGTCACCGGTATTTTGACCAATAGGAACATTTGGCTTTCGGCGACCGTTGCTTTTTTTTCCCCAACACAAGATGGCGGCAAATATCCCAATTAAGGGTCCTTTGGGCTCCTGTGTAAAGTGGTTAAAAAAGATCACGAAGTGAAGACAGCAAACTTCCATTGTTTTCACTTAAGAACCGTGATACGTTATTTTATTGTGACTCTAATATATGTACACGTGATTAAACCCTTTAATAGTACCACAAATATTCTCAATTTAAGAATAGAATCTATAACCGAGCATAGTAATATCCTAAACTCAACAGCTAAACAAACATCTCCAGCAGCAGGTTCTTACAATAAAATCGTGTTTGAGATGTCCCCTTGCATTACAACAAATATAATTTAAATATTTTATATTTAAATTACAAAAGCATAGTTTGTGCTACAATCTGCACATTTGTGAGAAGTCAGTTCCTAAAATCAAAGGTAAATGTTAATTGTGTGACAGAAACCAAACAAAAGTAGAGTCCATTCATCACTTGACAATTAAAAGAAAACAAAAAATTGCTACCATTTAGGTTTAAGCACTTGTGTAAGTACTGCCAGACTACTTTCCACGGTTCCAACCAGCTTATGGCAACCAGTGAGAGGAGTTTGTGTTCTACTGCTGAAGTAAAAGGAAGGTTATGCATGTTGTAGGTGGATGATGACTTCAAAAGAAGGTTTCATTTCTTCTAAACTTTGTCTGAAGATCTGAGAATGTTGCCACGAGATGTCGCCTTCTCCCCCGCTGAGTTCTGCAGCAACAACAAGCTCTGAAGAGCCACACAGACTCGGGAACGTTTGCACCTTCCCATCTACAGGTTCAAAAGCAAGACAGGAAGTGGTCAGGAGGGATGGAATACCTTTGCTTCATTTATAGAAATAAAAAAAAAACACATAAAAATACCTCCAGAGAAGTTGGTAGTAAGTGGGCCTGACTGCACACGCCAACAGACTTTCCCAGAGTGGAAGGTCTGGCTACTGGCCATGATGGAAACTGACTTTATCTTCAGATCTGCTGGAGCAAGGTCAAACTTCCAGCTGATTCGCCCTACAGGAGAGTCTTCGGTCCGTGCGATGTATGCCTAAAAATTTAATTAAATAAATAAAATCAGACCAATGAACCCAAAGGTTTCTTATCATTTCCCACATTCATTCACTAAGGCACATTATTCTGCTGCCTGTGTGGTCATCTGTTTTTCACCATCACATTTATTCATCCCAACATGTTGGGGCAATGCAGTTAAATTCTAACAAAAGCCCGTTGCCATCAGCTGAATAGCTCAACTTCAAAGCTTTAATTCACTCGATTTTCCGACACATTTGCTGTGGCCTCTAGTTTAAATTAGTCTTGAGTCGTTTTCTGTCGGAAAAAAGCTCTGGTTCATGTTTCAGGACACAGAAGTTAGCTGAAGGAGAGGGTGTTCAAAAAACGGCAGGATTTGGAGTCTAAGACTGGGAATATACTCGCTTTTTAACCTCACATCTAAATATTTAAAGATGGTGTTGAAGTGCTAATCAAAGAATCACAAACACACCATCTTCCAGTCACTCTCCACTTTCCTGAAGACTGACTCCTTCGCCCACACACACTGATCCCAGTTAGGAATGATTTCGGAACAACTTGACACTCGACAGTATTGGTCCTTGGAGGCACTGTAGCTCACGTGTAGCAGCTGGTCGTTCTTCTCTTTCTCAGTGGGAGTAAACACAAAAGCGGCCACCTGAAACAAACACACACACACACACAGACATCTGAAGCTTCGTTTTACCTCCCAACTAAAACCTGTGACACAGAAACTTGTAGATAATAGGGCTGTCGCGGTAACCGCAAAAATGAAATATCGCAATATGAAGAAACCCACCGCGCTGCATCATGGGCCACCGCGATTACTGAACTTGGTTCAACTCAATGATGCATGTTGAGAAGGATGGCTGCACTGGTATCAAAACGAAACGTTACTTCGCTCCTTTGGGAGCACTTTGGTTTTCAGTACGTCAGCTGCTGCGCAGCCAGAGTCCTTGGCCGAGACAGAGCTGCCACCAGCGGCAAATAAATAAATAAATAAACGCTCGGAGACCTGCTGAAGTCCCGGACAAGCTGCAACCGTCCCGAAGAGAGTTTGAGCCGAGCTGGAGCTCACTCGCTACCTGCAGGAGGAATGCATCCACCCTAAAGAAACCCCCCCTGACATGGTGGAGCAACAACCGGGAGAGATTCCCTTTGCTCGCCAGTCGCACACAAGTACGTGTGTGTTAGTGCAACGAGCGCACCATCCGAGAGGGTTTTCAGTGTTGCTGGAAATGTTGCCACCCCTCTCAGATCCTCTCTCAAACCGTATATAGTTATCATGCTGGTTTTGCTTGTAGGTAACAAGGACGTGACCGAGCTATAAATCACCGTCATTCGTGTGTGTGAAAGTGAAAGTGAAATGATAGTGCGCCCGCCCCCGGCGCGCGTGCGCCCGGTACATGTAATTTTTTATGCTTGATTTAAAACAACTAAACAACATGGGGACTTGTTTCTTATTTGTTAGATGCTGCAGCCAAATTTACATTTAAAAGTTTAACCTTCTCAATTTTGTTGTTTTTAAGTTCAGTCGGACTTTCTGCGATCTGTGTTGTTACTGCCCTTTGATCTGCATTCAGTAAAGTGTTATAAAAGAAGGCACGGCAATTTTTAACCTTTTTAAATGTGTAAACATTATGTTTAGATAGTACTGCAATAAAAAAGTGCTGCAATAATATCGCACACCGCAATATTAAGCCACCCTGAATCACCGCAGGGGGAATTCCTCAACCGCGACAGCCCTAGTAGATAAAACACCAGTGGTGGGCAAACTCAACACAGACCTGCTTCTGTGGTCTGTTTTACAAGTTTTAAGTTGTTCGAATGAAAAGTCTCTGCTGTGTGTGAAGGATTGATGAAAGCAGCCATGCACCGAGAAGACTGGGCTGAAAAGATAAATCCAGTCTTGTGAATTGCCTTCATGCAGGTTAGAAGTGTGCACAGTGATAGCTTGTGTCTGTGTGGTGCTGTGATAGAAATGGCTGGCAAAACATTTCTATGGAAAAAACATCACTTAACCCAATTAATTCAGAATTGTCCAAGTCTGCATCTCCACAAGAAAACGGATATTTGACCTTCCACTCAACATGGATGCAACCCGGTGAACGGTATACGTCTACTGAAATGTGTACCTGCGTCTCCCGCTCAGGTGTTTTGGTTTCCCCACGCGCTAGCCGCCAGGCCAAAGAACCAGAGTTACGCCCCCCCAGTTCTCCGGGTTTGGGTTTCTTCGGGGAAATGAACTCCACCAGCTCCACAAGCAACCTCTCTGTCAGCTTCTTCTTCTGGTCTGCTGTCAGGGACTGCTGTCGCTTCAATATCAGAACAGAACAGTCTTGCGTCAACGCCAAAGTGGCCTTTATACCATCACTTGGGTTAAAACGGGTTCAAACTTACTCCGACATTAAGCCCATTAATGGTGTGCAGCAGCCAAGCCTCCTGAACGCTAGTTCTTCTTGACAAAACCTCAGCGTGTTTGCAGGAATACCTCCATGTGACATCAACCACCTGCAGCACAGACACATTCACGTCGTAATCTCATCCGCATGACTATAAGAAATGACTGAACTGGTGTAAACTGCCTTGCTGTCACATTCTACATCACTAAGAGAAAAGCCTACTAATAGACACTACATAGAAGCAGCAGCGATGCTGACGTCTCACTGACCTGATCCTTGGAGAAAGCCAGAACATAGGCCAGTTTCTTCCCCCAGCCGACCTCGTACAGCAGTGGTTTATCACAGGCATTCTCACACGAGTCACAGTGCAGCCAGCGGCGCTGAGACACGGAGTAAACCTCCGTCCACACGTGGTCTGAAAACACAAAGAACGAGTCCGTCTGCCTCCATATGCACCATACGTGTGGTAAACAGCAGTTTAATAACACGACTGCATTTTTCTGACAAATCAAAGGTGTGTCAGACCAGGCCTGTGTGCCAAAGCAGCGTTCACACAGGAAACCCCTGCTGTGATGAGTACACGACACTGACGAGACACCCCCCGCAGGGTTGTCTCGGGTCATGTGACCTACCGGTGCTGTCCCAAACAAATCTGGCCTCAAGCCCAAGGGCTCTGCAGCACAGGGTGAAACAGTTGGCCCACTCCCCACAGCGCCCCCTCCTGGTTTCCAAAAGCTTCTCTGGGTTGTTATACCTGATAATAGTGAAAGCACAAACTCAAATTAAGCAACTCTCAAATGACACCAAATAAAATAAATCAGTCATAGCTGTAAAAGTTAGCACAGACATCACACACACCTGGGGAATCTGGTGGAGAGCAGGCAGTTCTGACAGTAGTGGTTCTCTACTCGCTGCGCTCCCCAGCAAAGGTCCTCAGCACTAGGGCTGAGGGGGCTGGCGTGCTGGGTGGGACCTTCACACTGGCTGCAGGGTAACTGATCCACCCAGGAGAAGAAATCATGCTTGAACCACCTGAGCAACTCCAGCACCAGGAAGTCTTCTATCCCAAGTTTACAGTCTGCAAACACGACAGCAGAGCCAGTCAGGTTCAAGTCTCATAACTGAAGGTGAACTCGAGTATGTTTTATGGCAGGTGAACAGACTGAGTGAGGCCACTTCACCTGAGTCGGCATCTTTCAGCTCCTTCAGCTTGTGTTGAGCAGCAGAACGCAGCTGCTGGTGAGGAATAACGCTTAGAGCTTTCTGCTGCAGCTCAGGCCTTTCATACCGCATCACGTGCTGGAAGTTCGACTGAAGAGTTGCAAAGAAACTCACACTGCTCCCCTGCATCACAGACAATAAAAAAGGCAAGTTCTCAAAGGTCCTTCCTAAAGAGGCTGATGTGTCCTAGAGGTGGTGATGTTCTCCACCTCCAGCTACATTCACTGACCCCACAGATGCACAGAGAAAACTTGGCTCTTTCCTAACAACATTCTCATCAGTAGATCATATTTCACCAAAAGCAGCATTAAAGCAACCCTAAAGAGCTTTTATCACTTGAAGCTATTGCTTTCAAAATGGTTTCAGTGGTTCTTGAGCCATAAACTTGACCAACTTCACATCGGACAGCACTATAAACCCTCTGCTGAGTAGAAACTGCACTTAAAGGGATACCAAGAAGTTTTGGCTTGCTTTTAGAATACCCTGCTGTTCGTTAGTAAAAGTGAAACTGATCTCCTCGTTGTGCGTTTGTCTTTTTAACACCCAACTGTGGAAATGTCTCCTTAGCCTTCATTAGTTTCTACAGGTGTAACTGTTAGCAGAGCTCAACATTCCCAGGTTTCATCATCAGGGTTGACGGAGAAAACAAATCAGACGGACACGTCAACATTCATTGATGGGGGGGGGGGGGGGGGGGATTATTCCAGTCACGTCTTTTATGCAGTGCTGAAAGCAATCTCATTGGGTGTCACATCAGGTAAAACAAATAATCCATTGAGTAAGAAACTTTGACAAATGAGAACAAAAACGTAAACACGAATACATGAACTTATTTGGAGTGCAAATAAACAACTCAACAGCCACTCATCACTCAATCAAACAAATAAGCTGTGTTCAGGCATGTCAGCTCCACCTTACTAAAGTCCAGCAGGGACCAGACCGGCACTCTGAAGTTGCAAGTCCGGTATTCTGGCCAAATAGGGTGGTGGGGGTCTGAGAAGCATTTCATTAAGCCTGTAAAGGTTCATTTTAGCACATGCTGGCTCAAGAAAATGATTTGAAAAAGTTGCATAGTAGAACTTTAACAGTTTTGTGGCTCAGGTAGGAGCACTAGTGGGAGGTAGGGGTGGGCGATATGGAAAAATAATCATATCATAATTTTGTTTTTGCAAAATCACAATCACTATTTTATCTATTTTGACAATTCAGATGTTTTGGAAGTTATTTACCATTAAAATACATAAATTGAAATCATACCCCTTCACAGAAAAAAGGATAAAATATTTCTGAATCCTAAAAAAATATTTAATTATCTCTCCCTCTATCTATCTCTCCATCTCTCTCTTTATCTACACCTCTACCTACAGTTGAGAGCTAGAGACACATGTCTCAAATGTCCCACAGGCTCTTTCATGTAATTTTATATTTATAATTAATGTAAAATAATTTAAATTCTATCTAGGAGGCTCATATCCATCATCCACAATATTATCAGTAATTATTACTTGTCCACTAAAAAAAATCTATCATATTAAGCTAAACTAACCCTCATCTCATGCGTTCTCTAGTCACGATTACACTCCGCACTCAATATTTGTTGTTATATTCCTGATTGCGGGGAGGCAGGCATAAAAAAACGCTCCGGTCGGCCGCCACGGTGAAAAGGCTCGCTAAAACACACATAAACGTCTCAAAATAATAAAAGTCACAAAGCTAATTGCAAAGTTGAGAGCAGAGCATTGGCCCAGAGGTTCCCTGATTGAGCAGACTTGTCAGCAACATTTTATCCCAACAGTGTAGATCTTTTTACTTTGTGGCTTTTTAATATCAGTTGGCTCGTACTAGCGCTAGCTACAGCAGGCTGTGGCAGGGTTGTTTACGACAGTTGTATTTCTGCTTTCAACCAGTAGGAGGGAGAAGCGAGAAGCTTATGTTGCTTTAACTGTGCTCCATCAGCACTTTGTGCTGTTGTTTACATTAATACAAGAATCCCATCAAACTGTTTTATGTCACTTTGGTTTGTTTTAAGTCAGGGGTTATATGTTATGACACGTTATATTTACACAAGTAAGGAAGTTTCAATCGTCTATTAGAAGCAGATGTTAATGAATTGGGAACTTTGTGGAATATAGGGAAAGGCACAATAAGCAGCATAATTCTAAAAGAAAACATCCCTACCAGGGACGATGGCTGCAGAGGTGGTGGTGCTACTGGTCGATCAGACGCAGCAGCACATCTCTCTGGGGCCGAAGATGCTGCCGTTGCAGGCTGAACGGCGGCTTGGCCGGGATATTCACCAGCCATCCTTACATCCCGCTCTGCAGCGATTGACTCCCTGATGAGCCTCAGCTGTGCCACTGACGCAGACTGGGGGAAGACCAGGTGGGTCTCTGCCTGGAAGGGTTTAGAAAAATTACCAAGAAGAATAATGAAGCAAAGCATGCACAGTGTGAGTGACTGCTTTACCTATTAAAGCCACAAGGAAGCTCTTACCTCCTCAAATCCCATCTCAAAGAGACATTCTACAGCACCTCTGATGGGCAACAGCTTGGTGGAGAAAGTGGGGTTTCCTATACGGATGGATCTGTACTTTTCCTCATTAGGACTCCTGTTGGGCAAAGGAAAAACAATCAGCTTTTCAGAAATCATCTTTTATTCTGAACCCAGGGAGTTCTGTGGTAAGTGAGCCCTCAGGTCCACAAACCAGAACCTTCTAGAAGTACCAAAGACCAGATATAAACATCGAGGTGATCGCTCTTTCCAGGCTGTTGCACCCCGACTTTGGAATTAACTTCCTTTATCCTTACCTAGTATTGACAGTTCATACACTTATAAAATACAGCTGAAGATCCTTTTACATAAAGCTGCTTTCATCTAAATCGTTAATTTTCTTATTTTTAACTCGAATTTGTAATCATCTTTCATTTGTATTATGATTATAAAATTATATGACTTTGTTTTTCTGATTTTAATTTATTTCTGTTTTAAGATTATTGTGATTTTGTGCTTTTATGTTTTGATCTTTGTGAAGCACCTTGTGATTATCTGTCTGTGATAAGTGCTTTAAATAAATAAAATGTACTTAATTACTCTTCAGAAATGCCTGATTCAGTCAGACTACGTTGTTTATTCATGTATTTCGTCTCGCGATCAGAAGCAAGGTCTAAACGCAGACCTAAACTACTTCCTGGTACACCGAATCCACACAAACACTTTAAAGTTGAACCTTCAACATTGATACACAGTAAAATAATCGCCTTAATCCAAACAGCGTCCTGTTACACTTCCATTAGCTTCACTTTGTCGACAAAGCGTTAATTCGTTGTGTGTATAAGAGTATTTCAGTGAAACCTAACACGATTGTTTAATTTGCAGCTTTACCTTAAAATGTTGTCCGCGTACGTGAGCAGCAATTTAGAGACGTCCAGGAACACATCTCTTGGGTTCTTACACAACGTTGAGACCGCTGGTGAAGGATACATTTTAGAGTAATTAGAAAAACTGAAACGTTTTTCACTGAAACTCCTATAAATGCTAATGCTTAGCTGCCTGGGGTCCTGACAACACGTGTCCTAGCATCGCCTGACTAAATTTGTCGAAGCTTTTATAAATATTTAAGAAATATGCAGCTATAAATATACGTCATACAAGTACAAATTTATGCCGCGTTAAAAAAGTATAATGAAGTACTGATAATTGTTTTTTGGGGCCTGCTTTGGTTTATAAATTAAAGGTTACGCATCATGGCGTTAGCTGCTACTACCTAAGACTAGCTAAAAACAAATCCTCGGGTGTCATGATGGACTAGTTATTTCACGTATGTTTTTATAAGAATCTCTACCAATTTGAGTGTTTTTGCGTAAGGAAAGTTCGCCTTTTGCTTGTAAATCTTCCTTATGCTCTCAGTAAGCCATTTACTGAAGCTTCCGGTTTGCTGTCTTAGTTAAAATCGTAGAATGTCTTTTCTGTCTCTGTCCTATTGGGCCAAAATCCACCAGAGACCACACAGTTTAGGGACTCTGCTTCACAAATCCCTGTTTAGTCCGAACCAGGACTCTAGGCACCAGTTCAGTGGGCAGCAGTCTCAAAGGAGGGTTGTTATTACTGGACTAGGGTTGGTGTCCCCACTGGGGACAGGGACTGGCCTTCCCTGGGAGAACCTGATCAAAGGACAGACTGGGGTTGTTGCTCTGGACTCAGAAGAGTACAAGACTATCCCCTGTAAAGTGGCGGCTCTGGTTCCTAGGGGCACTGGTGAGGGGCAGTTTTGGGGAGAAAAGTTTGCCTCTCGAGGGGAAATCAATTCAATGTCACCAGCGACCCTCATGGCCCTTGGAGCTGCTCAACTGGCGCTGGAGGACTCAGGGTGGTACCCTGAAAGCCCAGAAGAGCAGCTGAACACGGGGGTAGCAGTAGGCATGGGTATGGTGTCACTGGATGAGATTGCCCGGACTTCTGCTGCCTTCACAGAAAAGGGCTACAACAAAGTTAGCCCCTTCTTTGTTCCTCGTATCCTGGTCAACATGGCTGCTGGGCACATAAGCATCAAACACAAATTGAAGGGTCCCAACCATGCTGTGTCCACAGCATGCACCACAGGCGCTCATGCCATCGGTGATGCAAGCAGGTTCATTGCCCATGGGGATGCAGTTGCTATGGTTACAGGGGGAACAGAATCCTGTGTAGGGCCGCTCTCAGTAGCTGGCTTTGCCAGAGCACGTGCACTCGCCACCAAATGGAATGACAGACCTGCGCTGGCGTCAAGACCCTTCCACCCAGAGAGAGATGGTTTTGTGATGGGAGAGGGAGCAGCTGTGCTCCTGCTGGAGGAGCTGGAGCATGCACTGACAAGAGGAGCCAGGATCTATGCTGAGGTTCTGGGCTATGGGCTCTCAGGGGATGCTAGCCACATCACCGCACCCACTGCAGATGGAGATGGAGCCTTCAGGTGAATTGCTTATAAAGGTTTTACTTGGTGTTTCATAGTCCTGGATAATCCATATTAAAAAGTGTGTTGTTCTTGTCAAGAATCAGATGCTTGATAAAGTAATGTTATTATAATAATAATTGAGTGTAAATAGTAACACAGTAGTAGCTCAGGAGGTAGAGCGAGTAGTCCAGTAGTGGAAGGGTTGCTGGTTGATCCCAGTTCCTTCCTGTTATTTCCTCAGGCAAGACACTTCATCTATGTTGGTGGTGGTCAGTGGGGCAGATGGTGCAACATGGACGCCTAGCCTTGAGCAGACTGCCCCAGGGCGGCTGTGGTTCTGTATAGTATACCATCACCAGCAGTGTGAGAATGAGTGTGAGTCAATAGTGGATTCTCTGTGAAGTGCTTTGAGTGTCCAGAAAAGCTCTATATAAATCTAATCTATTTTTTAATTATGTAATCTGCAAAGTATTTTATTAATCTGGACAAGGCATGTTTAACATTTACAAGTAAACATGCTAGATTATAGCCAGTGGCTAGTTTACTTCTGTAATCTCAGGGCTAGAGAGTGAATATAGGTGATGATAGAACATGGACAGGAATCTCAGTCGGATCAGGAAACTGCTCTGCAGGTTCAACTTGTACGGTGGGGTGTGGTCTTCTATTTCATGAAACAGTTTAATGGTGATGGTGCCAGCCTTTGAAGGGATATGTGGGCATGTAGAATCTTTGGGTTTGAATGTATTTTCAAAAGTGAGAATATAAATGAATGATGTAAATTATGCAGTATCTTTACTTCTTTCTTATCCAACCTTTGTTTGTGGCAAGCTGGTTACCCAGCACTTGATGTGGTAGTCACAATCTGCTTCTCAAACACACTGAAGGCTCATTTCACCTTCTCCTTTTGGCTTTTTGGTGGCAGAAAGAAGACAAAAGCATAGGACTCATATTAAAACAAATTTTACACTCTTCAAAGTGATAATTTGTAGTTTTTACCATTAATCTATGGAAATATCCATCAAAAATGTTGTAAATGAATTAAAAGATGCCTAGTTGTTGAAAAATATTGATAGTTTCATAACATATAACCAAAAGCATCTGTTCTAAAATACATGGAGTGGGTCTAAGTCTGTGGGCAACGCCATACTGGATGCCATGCTTCGTTCTATGGAAGCCCCCCTGAGAACAAAACATATTTACTGATTTTAACAAATTGTTACAAAACTTTCACCAATAATAAATGTTTTGTTTTACACTTTTACCTCTTCACTTGCTGCCAGTGATGAAAGGGAGTCTGATGTGCTTGTTATTTTAATGGAGGTTGCACTCCCAGGGATTTTTGACCCTAATGGCCATCCATTGGTAAGGTCTTACTTGAACACAAAAATACTGCTTGCATGCAATGATTTAGGTATGTACTGCCCCTATCGCCAGGGAAACTACACACTGTCACTTTAATAGAACCCATATGTAACAGTCCAGGACCCCTTGAATAAAATGAGTGTTGTTTGGTTTCCATGGTGATCTCTCAGCTTATTTTGGACAAATCAATTCAGAATCGTGATTTGTTGCCAAGTAAGTGTAAGTGAAATATAGTATGCATCAAAAATGATTATGAAAAATAAACATAAGAAACATAAAGTGACTGTTGCAGATCTGAAAATCGAAATAATAAGTGAACTTTTATCTGATGAAGTTGCATCAAACCAGAGATTTGACAGCACATCCCAATAAATGGTTTTCACCTTCTGTAACCCTCCATTGTTCTTACAGGTGTATGTCTGCAGCCCTCAGGGATGCAGGTATCTCTCCATCAGATGTCACGTATGTCAATGCTCATGCCACGTCCACGCCTTTAGGTGACGCAGCAGAAAATGCAGCGATCAAGAGGCTCTTCCAACCCAGCTTTGATAGCCTGGCTGTGTCCTCCACCAAAGGGGCCACAGGACATCTGCTAGGGGCTGCCGGGGCCCTGGAGGCAGCCTTCACTGCTCTAGCCTGCTATCATGGGGTGCTGCCCCCGACCCTTAACCTAAACCGTACAGAACCAGAGTTCAATCTGAATTATGTTCCCTGCAGAGCGCAGCCATGGCGAACTCAGGGCCGACGGATTGCCCTCACAAACTCGTTTGGGTTTGGTGGTACCAATGCCTCGTTGTGTCTCAGCAGTTTCTGATCATCTGTGTGTTTCCTTCAACAATATTTCTGATATTAAAGTGACACGAAAGCCGGATGATGTTGTTATTGGTCTAAGTGTTCTGGGCACAGACATAGAAGTACTGGACAGAGAAACACAACATGAAAGTTAAAAGCTACGAGGAGCTAAAGTGCTGCCTAGTGGCTGGTTGCAGTACATGTTTTAAGCTCGCCTCTTCATCTAAAAGCATGGGACATTTTTATAAATAGAAATGAAAATGAACCACATATCATTTGTCCAGGTGTTTATTCTTGTTGAATTATTAACTTCCTATTTTGCATCTTGCTGTTAAGTTATCTTTTAAGCTTTAAGTAGATGGAAGACATAATTATTGTCATTGTGCCAGGATCCAATAGCTTCACGTTTCTAGAATGAAAAATGAAATGCTCCATCTAATGCTGGCAGGCCAAGTGGAAGGCAGCCTGGGTGGTTACAGAGGCAAAAACCTGGGCGTGGGAAGAGTTCAGCGAGACCATGGAGCAAGACTTCCGTACTGCTTTAAGGAGATTCTGACCCACTATCTGGCGCCTCAGGAGGGGAACGCAGTGTGCTCCCAATGCTGTTTATAGTAGGGATGGTGTGCTGCTGACCTCTACTCGGGACATTGTGGATCAACAGGCAGAGTACTTTGAAGACCTCTTAAATCCCTCCAGCCGCGTCTTCCAACAAGGAAGCAGATTCCGGGGACTTTGGGTTGGGCTTTCCAGTCTCTGGTTATGATGTCACTGAGGTGGTCAAAAAGCTCCTCAGTGGCAAGGCTCCTGGGGTGGATGAGATTCATTGGGAGTTCCTCCAGGATCTGGATGTTGTAGGGTTGTGTTGGCTGACACGGCTCTGTTATATTGCATGGATATCGGGGGCAGTTCCACTGGATTGGCAGACTGGGATGGCGGTCCCCCTAGGGGGACCGCAGGATGTGTTCCGACTACAGGGGGATCACACTCCAGAGCCTCCCTGGTAAGGTCTATTCAGTAGTTCTGGAGAGGAGGGTCAGACGGATTGTTGAGCCTCGGGTTCAAGAGGAGAAATGTGGTTTTCATCCTGGCCGTGGAACACTGGACCAGCTCTATACTCATAAGCTATGTTTATGCTTGACGCATTTACTTTCCGCTGGGTGATGCGGCTCGCGGATGGGACACGCTTCACAACTCGCAGCGTTTATGGTTCATGCGGCTTGTCTCTGTGGTGAGCCAATATTCTCCCAAACTGTAGGGGGCAGCATGGAGCTCTAGGGCATGCATCCAACACTACACCATAGTAGAAGTAGAAATTACTGTTTACAACATGGCATTCCAGCATTTTTTAATGGCGTCCTCGTCTTTTCCGACAGTGCGAGCTATTTCTCTCCAAGAATTATTAACAACATGTTGATCACAGCGATCTTAAGAGGGAGCTGAATCATACAAATGTCTGTATTTACGAACCTCTGCAAGTCTAGTCAGTTCTAGTTCTTGCCGGTCCACCATGTTTTTCCGCGTCCGACCGTCAGCGTGGTTAGAAAATTTCCTAGGTGCGCGGTGCGGAAATTTTGGGCCGTGCGGAGGCGCGGTGGAGGGGCGTGGTTGTTAAAATGACGCAATTTCGCCGCGCAGAGCTGTGCGAACCTTGCGGACGCATCAAGCATAAACCAACCTTTAGGAGGGTCCTGGAAGGTCCGTGGGAGTTTGCCCAACCAATCTACATGTGTTTTGTGGATTTGGAGAAGACGTTTGACTGTGTCTCTCGGGAGGCCTTCTGGGGGGTAACAAGTCCTCTGATATGGGCTGTTAGGTTCCTGTATGACTGGTGTCAGAGCTTGGTCCGCCAAGAGATTTGGGCTCCACCAAGGCTGCCCTTTGTTACTGATAATGTTCATAACCTCTATGGATGAAATTTTTAGGTGCAGCCAAGGTGTTGAGGGGATCTGTTTTGGTGGCCTAAGGATTGAGTCTCTGCCTTTTGGCAGATCGTGTGATCCTGTTGGCTTCATCAGAACGTGATCTCGTGCTCTCACTGGAGTGGTTCACAGCCGAGTGTAAAGCAGCTGGGATGAGAACCAGCTCCTCCAATTCCAAGACCATGCTTGTGAATCGGAAAAGGGTAGAATGCCTTCTCTGGGTCAGGGATTAGGTCCCGCCTCAAGTGGAGGAGTTTAACTATCTCTGGGTCTTGTTCACGCGTGAGGGAATGTGGGAGCGCAAGGTTGACAGGCGGATTGGTGCTGCATCAGCAGTGATGCGGGTGTTGTACCGGTCAGTTGTGGTAAAAAGAGAGCTGAGCTAGAAGGTGAAGCTCTCGATTTACCGGTCAATCTACGTTTCAATCCTCACCGATGGTGACGAGCTTTGGGTAGTGACCAAAAGAATGAGCTTGCGGATACAAGCGGCCAAGATGAGTTTTCTCTGCAGGGTGGCTGGGCTCTCCCTTAGAGATAGGGTGGGAAGCTCAGTCATCTCGGAGGGGCTCGGAGTAGAACTGCTACTCCTCCATCGAAAGGAGCCAGTTGAGGGGGCTCGGGCATAGTTAGGATGCCTCCTGGACACCTCCCTGGAGAAGTTGGCATGTCCACCCGCGAGAAGACCGAAAGGAAGACCCAAGACACGCTGGAGGGACTATGTTTCTTGGCTGACCAGGGAACGTCTTAGGATTCCCTCGGAGGAGCTGGCCCAAATGGCTGGGGAGAGGGAGGTCTGTGCCTCCCTGCTTAGGGTACTGCCCCGCAACCCAACCCTGGGTAAGTGGCCAAGAATGGATAGATAGGCTCCATCTAAATGGTAAATGGTCTGTGTTTGTATAGCGCCTTCTTAGGGTTCTACACCCCTCCACCCCCACCCACCCACCCCAAGGCGCTTCACAACATAATCAGTCATTCACCCATTCACACACACATTCACACACACATTCACACGCTGGTGGGGATGAGCTACGATGTTGCCACAGCTGCCCTGGGGTGCACTGAAAGAGCACCAGCAGGCAAGGTGGGTTAAATTTCTTACCCAAGGACACAGCTGGTTGTTTAATTTATCCATGGGTGGAATGACAAAGAAGACAATGCAATGAAAATCTGAATACGGTCAGTTAGAAAAAAATCAAAATACCTCTCTTCAGAATCCCACGAAACATGAATGTAACCAGAGAAAGTGACTGGTTGTAGAAATCCATCATCATCATCATCATCATCATCATCATCATCATCATCAGGGTCATGACTCCTTCCTCCTTTTCACTGGATTTAAATCTCACAAAACTACAAACTGGAGGTAGAAACTATCATTTCACCTGCAGAGACTCTCAACCCTGGTTATGAGCCTGGGCTGATGTCTGAAAGAATAAGATCCTACGCAGAGACAGCTGAGTTTCTTCTGCAGGGTGGCTGAGCTTGGCCTTAAACAGTGGACGTCCAGGAGGGACACAGAGTAGACGAAAACAAGACGAGAGGGCTGGGTGTGTGTGTCACCAGTAGATGGCACAATATCACTTGTTCATTTTTTCAACAGAAACAACAGGCTTCCATTGAACAAATAAAAACTATCCACATGTTTTAAGTGTGTTTTATTAATTATTAATTGCAGGTACAAACTTGATACCATTTATGTTGGAAAACACGACTGCCTCATGCTGGAGTGGAGAAAATACTGTTTATTCACACGTATGACCTTTATCTGTCTCATACATTCAGCTGCACTATTTAAAAATATTTTTTAAATTATTATTATTTTTCATAGTCATTTATGTGATGTTTTTTTTTACTATTACAGGGCTGCCAACTCTCACATGTTGAGCGTGAGACATGCATCTGACCCTCTCTACACTCTTACGCCACTCCTCCAATATCTCACGCTGAAGAATCAGGTTCTTCTCAGACCAGATTCAATGCATGACTCTGGCTGAGCCGCTCCAAAACGATCACTTATAGTCAGAAGATAACTTTCAACTCAAGTTGAAATCTTTTGTGTCTTGTCTCTCTATGTTTGGGCTACATATGTACACATAGAAGCATCCATCCTGGACACACAAACTGATTCTGTTCTAACGTCAGGTTATGTAAGTCATTCCAACCCATCAGCTATCAAAACCTCAATCAAAAACCATTCCAAATTCTTAATTTTTAGTGCAGAAACGCTTCTTATAATGACTTAATACCCCTGAAATCCAGAAGATGCTAACTCTTAATAGAGTTTGGGGAAGAGGCTCAAGAATTTGTTCTCCTTGCCCTAAATAAAGTCTTAGTTTCTTCATTTCTTCTACAAAAACATGCGGTGTAAAGATGGTATATTGCTGAAATTTTGGTTGTCTTAGCTCCAAGTTACAGGAGGGAACAGATCCTATCAGGACGAGGCTGCTAAAATGTGTTCCTTACACCCCTATGCAGGTGCTAAAACTAGAATATCATGACAAAGTTTATTTATTTCTGTAATTCCATTCAAAAAGTGAAATTTGTATTTCAGATTAGGGATGGACAATGTATCGGCATCAATATCGGTATCGGCCGATGCTAGTCATTTTATAACATATCGGTTCGATAAATAAAACCAGGCCGATATTAACAACCAATATTTTTTCCATCTTGGCTCCATTTGTTTGCCTGTTTCAAAGGGTCAGGGGGGTGATGTGTAATTGTTTAGTCATGTGAACAGTGAATGAAATCATCTCAGACCGTAAATGTGCGTGGAGTGTGTACATAATAACGTAAATTCAGCTTTAATAATGTTCATTCTATACAAAATCTTCTGATTTTAGAAGCATTAATGACAGTGTATCGGTATATCAGCAAATATCGGTTATCGACCATAACAGTGATCTTAATATTGGATATCGGTATCGGCTCAACAACTTCATATCGGTGCATCACTATTTTAGATTCATTCATTACTCACAGACTGATATATTTCAAATGTTTATTTCTTTGAATTTGATGATTATGACTGAAAACTAATGACAATTGTAAATTCAGTATCTCAGAATATTAGAATATTGTGAAAAGGTTCAATATTGAAGACCCCTGGTATCACAGTCTAATCAGGCTATTAACTCGAAACACCTGCAAAAACCATTAAATGGTCTCTGTCTAGTTCAGGCATGGGGAACCCTGGTCCTCGAGGGCCGGTATCCTGCATGTCTTTGCTCCAACACTTGATTGATTGATTCACCTGTCCAGCAGCTCATCAGGCTCTGCAGAAGTCTGTTAATCACCTGCTGATTGAAATCAGGTGTGATGATGCAGGGTTGAAACTAAGGCCTAGTCCACACGTAGCCGGGTTTTTTTTAAAAACGAATATCCGCCCCTCCAAAAACTTGCATCCACACCACCTCGTTTTAAAAAAAACTGTCCACACGTACCCGGATAAATACGTTTTTAAGGACATGCCAGACCTGTAGGCGGCAGTACTTCCCCCGTTCTTAACCTCGTCCTTCGTCTGTGGTCTTCCGCAAGGAGCAGTAATTCCGCTTGCAAAAACAAACAAGCAGAAAGCGCTTGGACAATTGATAAGGCGAGCGCAGCTCTGAGGCCATCCATGCTGCCGGCTAGTGTAAACACAGGTCGCACACGTGATGTCGGCATTTTTTGTCGCGGAAAGTGACGTTACGGACCTTAAAATTCCGGTTTTGTCTGTCCACACGCAGACACCCAAAACGGAGAAAACGCAGATCTTCACTTTGGCCGGAGTTTTTAAAAAGATCCGTTTTCGTGTGAAAAAACTCCGTTTTCGTGTGGATGTCAGGCCAAAACGTAGAAAAATATCTACGTTTTGGCAGATCCCCGGCTACGTGTAGACAGGGCCTAAGATATATTAGATAGCAGCCCTCGATGGACCAGGGTTCCCCACCCCTGGTCTAGTTAATAGCATTTAAATGACTGTCCCACCCAAGTTTCTTTATCTGTCTCCCAAATTTTCTCTCAAAAATTATTATTTTTTTCAAAATCTGACCGTTTGATCTTGTGCTCACATGGCACAATAGGCATCTCAGGATCAGTAAAGGAGTATTACAATTTCCCCGTGATTTGGGGGCACGGCACCTCCTAATTTTATGTATCGTTTCTGGGCCTGTAACGTTAATGCACTGTTGTTTTGGCTGAGGGGAGGTGTCTTCGTTCCGAGTTGGGTGGCTCACAAGATGCTTCATAAGAAAAACAAAAAATAACAAATGATTTAAAAAGATAACAAGATAAGAGAAACAAATTAAGATTAAATAAGAACAAGAAGGATTAAAGTAAACACAGGAATAAAAAATGTACAGGCCTAGAAGCAGCAGTGAGGAAGAGGAGGATCAGTGTTGCCAGACTGGAAATGGTAAGGTATCGTTCCAGGATCTTAAATTTATCGTACTTTGAGAAAAAATATTGTATACTTAGTTGCATCCTGACACACCTGATGACCCACAGCTTCAATATTGATGCAGTCATGGGAAGCATGTCACTGCATGCAACGTAAGCATTTATTGGTTGTTAAGGAATGTCTCTGGATGCAATCGGCAGTTGCGGATTCCACAAAAGGAAGGGCTGAAATGATCGTACAGTGGGCAAAAGTATCCTACAAATACGATAATTATCGTACATCTGGCAACACTGAGGAGGATGGACAGGTCACACAAAAGCCAGTCTGAACAGGTGAGTTTTCAGCTGCTTTTTAACCCTCTCAGGCTCAAAATAAGTTTTGATAAAAGGACAAACAACTAAGTCATTCAGGGGAACTTCTGAGTTAAAAATGCTCATGAAATATGTATGTGGAGTAACCAGGTAGGTAGGTTTTAACTGTTGCAAATCTGCAACACCTGCCTCCAGAGGGTTAACCAAAACTGAAGTTATAACATTTTAATGTTCTGTATGCTTCTACTTTTGAAGTGATGAATAGTTCTTCAGTCAGAATCAGAAGATGGATCATCGTACCAGGAATGTTTTTCCAGGGCCATTTTTAGGTATTGCACCTTATTAAGGCCTCTTGGTGGCATAGCCAGATAATGAATAAATAAATTATTCATCCATCTTTAAATAAAAGAAATTATTTGACAGAGATAAATGAGTAGAAGCCGTTTTGAAAGGAAACCCTGGCAGCTTTTCGGGAGTGCTCAGCTAGCAGCGTTCCTACATTCCCGCTCTGTCTGAATCACTCTTCTAAAACTGGAAGCACGATGAGTTTTTGTTTCTCTGCAGGTTTTACTTACACTTTGTGCGCCTTGTGCAGCCAGAGCTGTCAAGATGAGCATTTTACTAATGTTGTTTCGTGACACTGGCATTCCCTCAGAATTCCACCGCACAATCGATGGGAACAGGAACAGCTGGAATAATGACTTCAGTTCGTGTTACTGTTGCTTCCCTTTTGTCACGCATTCCTGCCACCTAATTAGGAGATATCCAAGCTGAATTACAATCACCATGGCAACAGTCGGGGTGAAATCCCTTTGATGTCCCACTGTCCCACAGGGAGCGCCGTGCAGGTTCTATAAATAGATGTTCTCCTCTCACTCTCCTCTCTGGCCTTCAGTCCTCTGCTTGGGCCGTTCCTCATCTCTACAGCCAGACAGCATTCTGACAGGTTAGCATCAATCAGCGTGGGGGGGGGGGGGGGGGGGGGGGGGGCTTAGCTGTCATGGGAGAGCCTGTTTCCTAAACATTCTAAATATGTACAAAAATAAGACCTTCATTTCTAGTTTAGCTGGACAACACCTTCCACTAATGTTTAAACAAATCTGCAGACTAAGGAAACTGAAACATAAACAAGCAACCTGCATTTATAAAACTACATTGAGTTTTCCCATTTTTGACGAATTTTGTAAAATAAAGTGCCCCTTAATTAATCCATAATGCTTTAAATTATACGTTAACACCTGAGATAATAAAAAAGAGAAAAAATTAGAATAAGAAGGAATAAAGTAAAACTCGTACAAAAGCAGCAGCATGAAAATAAGCAAATGAGAAAGATGAGGATGAACTGAAGATCACACCAAAGCCAGCCTGAACAGGTGAGTTTCAGCTGCTTCTTAAAGGAGACCACTGAGTCCACTGATCTCAGGCTCAGGAGGAGAGAGGTCCAGAGTCTGGGGGCCAGAGCAGCAAGTGATCTGTCACCTTTGGTCTTTAGTCTGGTGCGCTGCACAACCATGTAACGGAATGAAATGACTGTTTTCTATCTAAAAGTCATTTCCCCCTCTCCTCAGCAAGAACTAATCTACATGAGATTTTGCCTCAAGGTCTCATGGATCTGCTCCTAAACTGTTTTCCTTTCCAGCCCAAGAGAAGAATGAAGGCAAAGGACTCTTTAATAAAATCAAAGAACTGTTTTTAATAAGCTAATTAAACAAAGTGTTAGTCACTAATAAAATGTGAACCAATTTGTGAAATGAAAATATAAATTACTTTAATATAATCCTATAGAATAATATAACTTTAAATGTTTCCACTAGAGACTGATTACACGTAGCGTTAGGACATGACACATTGCTTTTACTGATCCAATCAGAATCTGCCAGATCTGACGGAGGCGTGGTTTTGGTGGTGCTTGGTAAATCTGTCATCTTTTCATTCAACCATAAACCAAAACTGTCATGTTGGGCTGAAGTTTTCTAACCACCATGAAAGAATCACACGAGGAGAGAGGTGAGTAAAATATAATGTTTTTATTATAAAGAAAATTAATGAAAACGAAAAGCGCTGATCCAAACTGGGCCAGCAGGGTGTTCTGATTCTAAAACAGAAGATAGCAAAAATGAAAACTGAGAACCAAGAAAACACTGTGGAGTAATGGAGGTGGAGTCTTACAGTACGAGGTGTGGGTCTGAGCTGGAGATGGTCTGGTGGAGAGGAGTAGCAGGCAAAGGAGTAATCCAGGACAGGTGAGAGGCGGAGAGCGGGAGACCAGAGGTGAGCGGCGTTGGGAAATATATCCACTTCAGTCAGCAGGAAGCTGAGGGTAAGAATCCAGGGCTGGTACTGGAGCAGACAAGGAGAGCAAAAATGAGCACACGGGAGAAAAAACACGAGACTAGAGTCAACAAGGACTGAGGAGAGCTAGGGTACCCAACAATAGAGTATCAACTGGCACTGAAGTGTGGCAACACCGCTCCTTATATCCTCTGGCCTGGCTGGATGATAATCAGCTGCAGCTGTGGCTCTCCAACATGCTCACCTGCAAACACTTAGGAGCACAACCACAGAGAAAAAGCAGAACCATGACAAAAACATCAGAAGTATAAAACTATGCCCACGTCATCTTTAACACCAGTTCAAAGCGTTCTAGAGAAGTTGACGGAGTGGCCAATCTGTAACTTTCCTCTTCAGCCGAAAGAACCAACGACAAGCTGGATAAAATCTGTTGCATTTTACCAACCAAGCAACGGTTCCTTTCAGAAAAAAAAGCTGAACTGATTGATCCTCCGGGTCCATCTGACGCTGTCAACCAACTGTCGCTTTTTACCTGGAGACAATCCAAAGACTAGTCTGTCGTACTGCTGACGCTGTTTCATCGGCTCCGGTACCGAATGATGGGTTCGAGGACCTGGCAGTCTGGATCTGTACGGAGGTCTCATTCTAAGGGTATGTGTGGAGTGACAAAAATGGCGTCTTATGTGTTTATGAAACTCCAAATCAAAGCTTAGCGCGAAGACATCACCTTCACTCCCATCAGAACTAATCGTTTCTTCGGATTTGCTGGTTCTGAACAACATTCCACATTCCACCATTCTCTGTCTCACTTCACCTTAGTTACACCATACATTTAGTGTTTGAAGTTAGTCTAGTTTTAATTTGTTTAGTAACAAATCTTTAAACTTTTAAAACTTGACTCTCTTCTGTTGTCTCTCAGTCAATACGAAGTGTTACATAATCCCTACAATAAAAAGTTCCAATCTTCTGGTTAAAAGTACCCAAAGATCCATAAGATTGATTTCATATTTTCTATGGAATCTCATGTCTCATGGTTCATTAAATAACATGTAAATTAACCCTTTACAACCAGTAGGCTTTGGTCACTGGACCTCAGGGACCTGCTGGGGGTGTAGGGACTGAGAAGATCACCAATGTATTATGGTACTTGTCCATGTAAGGCCCTAAAGACCAGAACCAGGATCTTGAAATGAACCCTGAAGTTGACTGGCAGCCAGTGAAGCTGGAGGAGAAGCGGGGTGCTGTGGGTGTGTTTGGAGCACTTGGTCAGAAACCGAGCACAGGCATTCTGAACCACCTGTAGACGGTTCAGGGAGGTTCTGCTCAGACACGTGAAAAGAGAGTTCCAGTAGTCTAAGCGTGAGGAGATGAAGGGGTGGAGAACAGTCTCAAGTTCAGAGCGGAACCGAATGGGACTCAGCAATGTTCCTGAGATGGAAGAAGGAAGAGCAAACATGAGAACTTACACGAAAATCCAGGGTGAGAGCTGGGTCAAAGGTCACACCAAGATTACTGACAGAGGGTTTGGTGTGAGAAGCAAGCTGACCAAGACAGTAATGGAGTAATAGTAATAGTATAGTAGTAATTGAGTCTAAGCAGGCGTGTAACAGTTGCAGCTTAGACATCTCAAGGAGCTTAAAGGAGATATACAGTTGGATGTCATCTGCATAAAGATGGTAGATGATTCCTTGTAAAAAAAAAGTTCAGGATGTGCTGGAGGGGAAGCAGATAGAGGAGGAAGAGTAGAGGCCCCAGCACAGAACCTTGTGGTACCCCATGAGTGAGGGAGATGCTAGAGGACCAAAACTTATGGCCGCAGAGAAAGAACGCCAGACAAAGAGGAGAACCTCTCCAGAGCAGTTCCTCATAGGCCTACCCAGTCTCTCAGCCTCTCCAGTAGCAGGTGATGGTCAACAGTGTCAAAGGCTGCAGTCAGGTCCAGCAGGACCAGAACAGAACAGTCTCCTATAGAGTAGATTCCATTGGAATGTTTGCTTTGTGAAGTGTCTGAGATGACATTACTATATAAAGAAACTGAACTGAACCAAGTTAAACAATCCCTCTGAATATCAGTTACTTGAGTCATTCAGACCTCTGTCATGTTTAAGAGAAGCTGTCATTCTAACAACCAGCTCTTCGCTGTGAACACCATTATAATAGTTACTGCAGACATCCATCTTTAATCATATTGTTTATTATGAGTCATGAGGCAGGACAATATATATGTAATTAGTGAGAGTGTTTTGTGTTTCCTGTTTTCCTGTAATTATCACCTCAACAAGAAACGCCACCAAATGACCACAGTGAACGTGCTGCATAATGGAAGGAGTCCCTGCAGCCTCGGTACAATCGATGAAGTCATCAAAGCAAAAACGAAATGCTCTCCACATTTATTACCAGTCATGTTTACATACCAACTAGGCATTTTAGAGGTTTCTTCTTATCTATTTATTTATCCAGATGAGTTTTTTGAGAACTCATTCTCATTTACAACGGCGATCTGGCCAAGAGGCAGCTGCAACAGACACATAGTTAGCTTTATATCAAAGAAAAACAGAGAAGATAAAACAATTAGACATAAAGACAACAAACTGTTGTCATTTACAATATGTACAAGCAATTAAAACAGTTTTAAATACATTGATCAGAAACTATTGATTGCAATGAATTATTGAAGGTAGATAATGGAATGTAGGTAATAATAATAATAATAATAATAATAATAATAATAATAATGCATTGAACTTATATAGCGCTTTTCAAGACACCCAAAGATGCTTTCACACACACTCACATTCACACACTGCTAGTGATGGTAAGCTACTTGTAGCCACAGCCGCCCTGGGGAGGTCTGACAGAGGCGAGGCTGCCTTTTGGCGCCGTCTGCCCCTCTGACCACCACTAACGCAGGCAAGTTGGGTGAAGTATCTTGCCCAAGGACACAACAGCAGGATACCCCTGGTGGGAGCTGGAATCGAACCCATGACCCTCCGATCATGAGGCAACCCACTCTACCACCTGAGCCACTGCTGCCCCGTAGTAGGTAGTGAGCTTCAGTGACATTCCAGTCGCTGGGAGCAGCAAACTGGAATGAGGAGCGGCCAAAGAGGTGTGAGCTTTGGGAATAACCATAGAGATTAAGTTACTGGAACATAAATTGCGCTGTTTGTTGGAAGTGATGAGTAATGATCGAAGATAAGACAGGGTTCTACCTATGTTTGTTTTGTATATGAACTGATACCAATGTAACATTCTGCAGGAATGGAGCGATGGCCAGTTATGAGTGAGTACAGATCACAATGAGTAGTGAAAGGGCACCAGTGACGAAACGATTGCTGAGTGATAAATGTCTGCATATAAATATGAGAACTGTCAACAGCGTGAACAATGTTATTAATATAGATTTCGAATAACGTTGGGCCCAGTATCAACCCTTGAGGAACACCCAGAGATAGAGGTGCAGGAGCAGATTGGTAACCCTCTGTTCTCAATGTTTGCGTACGGCCTAAGATACAACTACTAAACCAAGCCAAAGATGCCTGAAAAAGTCCTATATGGTTGAGCTTGCAAAGTAAGATGTTATGATCCTTAATAAAAGGCTTTAGCCACGTCAACAAACACAGCCACACAATATTCCTTATTGTCAATGGCTGTGAAAACATGCAGGAAACATGCCGGAAGCGACTGCAACACTTGCATGTCAGTTTCCGTCAAACAAGGACCAGACCGGTGTCGGTACCAGATCCGCTCAGGGTCCTGTGCCTGCCGATGATGTCACACAATGGCAAATCCACTCGGCTTTTACACATACGTTTTGGAAAGAGTTTAGCAGTTTTGTTATACATTCTTGTGTCTTGCGGCCTACATTTTTTCTTTATAACTAATTTGGTAATAAAACACCATATTGTCTTCATTTTTTGTAAAGAATGTTAAACTGCAGAAAACCAACATCAGACTGTTAAAAAGCATAACTGGTCTTAAACGTGACATTTTAAAAATGAATTTACATAATTAGCAGCCATGTCCGTTTGTATAAATTTGTATTCCTCTGTATATTTTGTAAGTTTGTATGTAAATAAATCCATTCATTCATTAAAAATGTTGCTTGCTATTTGTTCTTTTTTTAATTTGTTTTTTTGATGCCCCATTTCATCAAAATCAGTTTTCTATGGAAATATTACATATTTTCTCCGAAAGCGTTTGTTTTGGACTACAGGACTTCAACCGCAAATTTGTTCGGTCCAATCAAAATCTTCAGTGTCGACGTGCTACCCTTACTTTTACAAACGTGGTATTGTAACTTTAGAAAGTCCTGCCTTCAGCCAATCATGTAGTGTGACGTCATCGGCAGGCGCGGGTCCCCAAACCGATCTGGCACCCGAGCAGATCTGGCACTGACACCGGCACTCTGAAGCTGCAAGTGCAAGAATCTGGCCACAGAGGGCGATGGGGGTCTGAGAGGCATTTAATTAACCCGTAAAAGGTCATTTTAGCATGCACGGGCTCAAGAAAATTATTAAAAATATGTAAAAGTTGCATAGTGTGCCGTTAACCTCAAACAATACAACCACCAGATTCAGGTAAAACAGGTGGGAAAGCCCCGCCCCCTTTGGTGCTCTAAATATCAGGTAGACTGATAAACATTTCCAAGTGGTTACTATGGTAACCCTACTGAGCCACTGGTTGTTACTATGGTGACCCTAATAAAACATTGGTTGTTTCCATGGTGATCCCACTTAGCAACTGGTTACAATGGGGACCACAATTTTGTTAATCTGGCCAGATTATTACAAAGGTGATGCATGAATCTCAGGCCGTAGCTTTTTTGACACCCTTCTGAAGACATTTTCTAATTATTTACATTCACTGTTTGTCCTGCAAGGGTCCAGAAGACCACCTGTTGGAGTCCGACTGGATTTTGTGTTTCTTTGACTCCCAGTCATGCTTAAATCTGCGTAAACATTTTTGTCCTGTCCTTTAGGGAAACTGATGAAGTGGCACCAAGTAATTCACAGCACATTAAACTTTCTTTACACAAAGGACAACAGCACAAATAGTGCTTTATTAACCTCAAATTAGTCTTAATGGTAAAAGTGTCTATGAGGTAAGGACTCTAGTGAGTCATTCACTCTGCGTTAGCTCCCAAAAATGTCTTTCCTCTCCTTTTTGTGGAAGATTTGACTAACAGATTGCGGTGAATAAAACTGGAAAGAGAGACCTCAACCATCTGCTCCCCTTTTTCCGTGGAAGTTCTCATCAGATGAAGCAGGATTGTTTAAAATCATTTGGTTGTATTCTGGAAATGTTTGGGTTCTCTGTCTCCTCAGCAGGTTTGAATCTGTTTATTTAATTTAAACAACCCGAGGTTTGCTGTCTTTCTCTCTTTTAATATTCACTCTCAGAAACAACAAAAGGCCTTTTTGGTGTGTTGATATTCACGAGGCTGTTGGAGCAGCACCACTGTGGTGTTTAGACAGCCTCCACAAGCTGTCTAGAAATCAACAGACGCTTCACACACAGCACAAATGAAAACATTTCTCAAAACACAGAATAACGAGCAAACCTTCTCAGTACTTATTATTAACCAACTCGAAAAGGCTGCCACTATTTCAGCAACATTTCACCAAAAACAGAATCCATAGGATCAATTAATCCACCGGGAAGGTCTTAAAAACAGTGTTGCATTCACATCTCAATCATCAAGCAGTTCAAAGGTCTCTGAAACAGACATACTTCAGAAGTCATGCTCTGTTAAATTAACTGCATAAAAGTCATCTTGTGGAAAAATTATCTGTTGTAGATACACATTTGAATAGCCTCAGTATAGAGAAACACAGATGATAAAAAAACAGCTAATAAGGCCAGATCCTAATGTAACGTGATGAAGGAGCCATTTCTCAGGGTTATTATCCTCTAACCACTGTTCCCTTTTGACACAGTGCCAGAGTGCATGAAACAGCCTCAAGGTCATGCATTCGCTTCTAAACTGTTTACGTTCCAGCAATGAAGACAGAAGATGAAGACTCCCTTTCTTTTCTTTTATTAAAAGCCAAAGAACTCTATTTTCAATAAAGCTAATCAAAACAACTGTTAGTCAATAATACCATGTGACCGATCTGTGAAATCACAATATTATGACTAATATGTTTTAATAAGTAAATGACTTATTCTAGTCACTAGACACACTGATACACTAAGGTAAATAATCACATGACACATTGCTGTTGCTGATCCAATCAGAATCTTCCCCGTCTGAAGCGTGGCGAGTCTCTGTGGTGTTTATTTAATCTGTCAGCTTTGATTCGTCCAGAATCATAAACATCCAGATTAATAAAACAGTTCCAACGCCATTTTCAAGTTCAGTATTCAACAAGATCTCAAGATCCCCTGAAGTTCACCGCATGCTAAGTGGAGTATGGAAAGGCCATCCATACTCTTATTTTTAAGCTAAGAACTACCAAGCTGGGAAACCTGCCGTTGTTATCAACCAGCAACGGTGCCTTCAGAATAAAAGCTGAACTCTGTGCCTTCAGAATAAAAGCTGAACTCGCTGACCCAAGGGAGGTTCCCTTTTTGACGCTGTGAAACACCTGTCGCTGTTTACCTGGAGACTATCCAAAGACTGGTTTGTCGTACTGTCGACGCTGTTTCATCGGCTCCAGTACCAGAGGAAGGTCGTGGACCTGGCGTCCGGATCTGTACGGAAGTTTCACTGAAGGGTATGTGGATGCGACACAAATGGCGTCTCATGTGCTCATGACCACGGTTCAAACTTGATCAGTTAGGAGCAAAACATCATATCCCACTCAGACTCTCTTCTCCGGAAACGGAGGTTCTGAACTGACACCCCCACACACACTCCACCTCACACTTCATTCCAACAACATCCATCATTAGAGAGTTAGTCTTGTTAAACTGTTTAAAATCATTTTAGTAATAAATTTTCTTAAACGTTTGAAAGTCTCTTTCTCTTCTCTTGTCTCTCAGTTCATGCAAAGTGTTTATTTAATTTCCCTGTAATAAAAAGTACCAATCTTCTGATTTAAATAACCCAGTGTCCATTAGATGGAATCCATACTCGATATGGATCTTTAACGTCTATGGTCATTAATTAAATTGTAATTTTATTCCATTACACTAAGTAATTACTAACATCGTCTGGTGAATTTTATTCTCAGAAATGTCACGCATTTATAGGTAATGCTGGGTCAAAGGTCACACCAAGATTCCTGACAGATGGTTTGGTGTGAGAAGCAAGCTGACCATGAGAGTCTCTGACTTTGGGAACCAGCTTGTCTGGGACGCAGATGAGGATCTCAGTCTTATCTTCATTCAGCTGTAGAAAGCTCCCATCCATCCAGGTTTTAATAGTCTAAGCAGGTGTGTAACAGCTGCAGCTTAGATAACTCATGGGGCTTAAAGGAGATGTACAGTTGGATGTCGTCTGCATAAAGATGGTAGGAGATTCCTTCAAAGGAGCTCAGGATGTGCTGAAGAGGAAGCAGATAGAGGAGGAAGAGTAGGGGCCCAAGCACAAAACTTTGTGGGACACCATGGGTGAGGGAGGTGGTGGAGGACAGAAACTTACGGCCACCGAGAAAGAACGCTCAGACAAAAAGAAGAACCACTCCAAAGCACTTCTATGATCACACAGAATCAACTGTGTTTGGCTGGGCTTCTTGTTTATTGTAAGTGTGTCTGTGATAGAAGAGCCAGCATTTCACTAGAAAAGGGCCAAAACCTGCTTCCTCTGCTGTTACTTTAGAGTTTCCACTGATGGTCTGAGGCAAAAATAAAAACAAAGCTGGTTTCATTTCTTCAGAGCTTGTCTTCTTTTAAAGGTCAAAATTCCTGCAGTTTAAAGATAATTAGAGAGAATGGAGGACAGTCAATGAAAGTGGGATTCAGAATACCTTTAGTGTGCAGACACACGGGCCATTAATGTATTCACCTGATGGATGATGTAAAGTGTTTTTGTTCAAACTTCTGTGGGACAGATCTGTTATCAGACTTCTCTTTACTTCATTTTCAATGAAATTCTCTTAAGAGTCAATAATCTGGGTTTAATAAATTGGGTTCAGACCCAGAAGGGGTCCCACAGAGGAAACGGTCGGCTGGGTTTACGATCATAAATGCAACTTCTAATGTTTCTACCACTAAATAAAATCCATCCAGATCTACTAAACAAACAGAAAGCTTCAAAGAAAACCAAACGCTAACCTCTTATCAAATGCTGTCTCAAATTCCCATCAATCTTCTTCTGACCTACACGGGACAAATGGACTGCTTTTACGGTCATAATTATTGCTAGGCCTCCCTGCTTGTGTAAGTTATTTTCTACCAAACTTTGTGATTTATAGAAAAACCTGCTGAGAAAATGACGAAGCAGGTTGGAATGGGTGGAGAAAAGTGTTTCAGGTGTAGAGCAGCCATGTTGTCTGGTTTAGGAACAGCGTCCATGAGGAAAAGACAGGAGACAGAACTGCAGGCCGTAGAGGTCCAGATGTTAAGGTTCTTAGTGGGAGTGACAAGGATGGATAGGATCAGGAATGAGTCCATCAGAGGGACAACTCATGTTAGATGTTATGGAGATGGGCAGAGAACAAACTGAGACTGTTTGGACATGTCCATAGGTGGGACAATTGTAACGGTATGAAATGACTGTTGTCCACCAAATGTCACTTTCCCCCTCTCCTCTGACACAGAACTAGTCTGCATGAGATATGGCCTCAAGGTCTCATGCATTTGTTATAAAACTGCTTCTTTCCAGCTCAACAGAAGAATGACGAATGGACTCTCTCCTTTTAATAAATCAAAGAACTCTATTTTAATAAAGCTAATCCAACAAAGTCTTAGTCAATAAATAAGATGTGACCAATCTGTGAAATGAAAATACTAATTACTTTATTATAATCCTACAGAATATAATAAGTAATATGACTATAAATGTTTCCACTAGGACTGATCTCACGTAGAGTTAAGACATGACACATTGTTTTACTGATCCAATCAGAATCTGCCAGATCTGACGGAGGCGTGGTTTTGGTGGTGTTTGGTAAATCTGTCAACTTTTCATTCGACCATAAACCAAAACATCCGAAGTATAAAACTATGCCCACGCCATCTTTAACGCCAGTTCAAGCGTTCTAGAGAAGTTGTCGGAGTGGCCAATCCGTAACTTTCCTCTTCAGCCAAAAGAACCAACGACAAGCTGGATAAAATCTGTTGCTGTTCTAACTGCTGCAACGGTTCCTTTCAGAATAAAAGCTGAACCATCACGACACAGGTTTGGGTCTCACTAGATGCCAACAAAATTGTCGTGACCCGGAAGTATCTCAAAGACTGGTCTGGTCGGCAACCGCTGCTTTTCCTACCGGCTTCGGTTCCAGAGAAGGTCAAGCTGGACCTCGACATTCCTGATCTAACGGGGACTTCCACCAAGGTATGTAGGCCGACAAATGGCGTTGAATGTGTTTATGAATCTCCTAACCAAAGCTTAACACGAAGACATCACCTTCAGTTCCCATCAGAACTAATCGCTTCTTCGGATTTGCTGGTTCTGAGCAACATTCCACATTACACCATTCTCCCGTCTTATTCACCTTAGTTACACCATACATTTAGTGTTAAAGTTAGTCTAGTTTTATTTGTTTTTAATAAATCTTTAAACTTTTAAACTTGACTCTCTCTCTTCTGTTGTTCTGAGTGAATACAAAGCTGTTATCTAATCCCTGCAATAAAAAGTTCCAATCTTCTGGTTTAAAATAACCTCACAGATTCATAAGGTTGATTTCATATTTGCTATGGAATCTTTTGTCTTATGGCTTATTAAATAACATGTAATTTAAATCGTCACACAATGATTACATGTAGAAGGATGGACATGAACTTATTTAATGTGCAGGTAGAGGATGCAAAGATGGGAATAAATGGAGACAGATGATTGGCTGTGGAGATGCCTGAAGAGACAAACCCAAGGAGACAAGCTAAAAAGAAAACAAACTGCATGTCACACCCTGTCCTGTCTCCCTATTCTGGTCAGTCATGTGTCTCTGTTAATTGCGCCCACCTGCCTCTCGTTTTCCAATCACCCAGGCTCCCAGCCCTCTTGTATTTAAGCCCTCTCAGTTCTGTGTCTTTTGTCGGTTCATTGTTTCAGTTGTCCAGCGTGTTTTTATATTTAAACCTTTGTAAACCGTTCCTGCCTGCCTTTTCACCCGCGTTTGGATCCTTGCCTCCGCTTCACTCACCAGCACGCGGGACAGAATGAACCGACCTCCTAAAGGATCCAGTGGGGAGGTTCTCCCCTGGGAGTGCCTGCTCCAGTTCCTCACCTCGGACCACCGGCCGGCTTCTCCTCCTCCGGCGTCGCCTCGCCGCAGACGCCGTCGCCGAACCCCGGCCCCATCTCCGGTCCAGTCAGCACCTCCTTCATCTGCAGGCGGAGGGACCACGCCTACAGCCCATCAGACGGAGCTTGCCAGCATCCAAGATTGTCAACTCATCAGCCTCCAGGAGTTCCAGCTGGACGCCCTATCCTACCCGTATCTCCAGGAGAATGTTTCTGTCCAGCCAGCGGCCCCGCCTCCGGTCCTGTCGGCAGCTCCCTCGTCTCCAGGCCAAAGGACCGAGCCCGCAGCTCATCCAACAGAGCTTGCCGGCTTCCGAGCTGAGCTGGTCCGACTCCGTCTGATCTTCAGTCTCCAGGAGCACCAGGTGTACAATTTAGTCTCCCTGCGTTACCGGTTTCCGGCAGCGCCAGGTCCCGCGCCACCAGTCCAGTCAGCGCCCGGTCCCGCACCACCAGTCCAGTCAGTGCCAGTTCCAGCAGTGGTCCAGGAGGCTCCGCCCCCAGGCCACCCAGTCCAAGAGGCTCCGCCCCGGGCCAGCCTGTCCAGATGTCAGAGCCCGTCGCCGTCTCCTCCTCTGCCCCAGACGCAGGCCCCCGAATTCTACTGGTCCCTGCCTCTTCTCCACCGGTCCCTCGGTCCCTCTCGGCCCTCCTTCCTAGTCCCCCTTCTCCCGCCCTGCTCTGTGTTCCTGTGGGGGTCTGGAATCCGCCCTTTGGGGGGGGTACTGTCACACTCTGTCCTGTCTCCCCATTCTGTTCAGTCGTGTCCCTGTTAATTGCTCCCACCTGCCTCTCGTTTTCCAATCACCCAGGCTCCCAGCCCTCATGTATTTAAACCCCCTCAGTTCTGTGTCTTTTGTTGGTTCATTGTTTCAGTTGTCCAGCGTGTTTTTATATTTAAACCTTTGTAAACCGTTCCTGCCTGTCTGCCTGCCTGCCTGCCTGCCTTTTCACCCGCGTTTGGATCCTTGCCTCCGCTTCACTCACCAGCACGCGTGACATTGCAGCTTCTGAAAATGAGACTTCAATGTTTTTCTAATGTACTTTCTTAGTTTAAATGCCCCAAATAATCCCACTGAGCTCATACTTTGTCCGGTTAAATTGCATTACTTGCCTTTTGACAGCCTGCTGTTCCCATGCAGAGCTGAACTGTGGTGGTGGCTGTATGCGAGCACGTCAAGAGGCATTACTACTGAACCCAAGAGGGGCGAAGCCACAGCTGTCAGACGTGCTACGTGGAGGTTATTACACCAGGTATCAGGGGAGGTAGCCTGTCCTGCTCGCCCTGTGAGTGTGATAGTTCTGACCGAGGCCAGAGGGCCCATGGACCTGCAGCTCTGTGGACTTCTTCGCTCTTTGCTTTGGATGGTTGTTCTACAAATCAGAATCAGTCTAACTGGAGGTTTTGAGTCCATTTGTGTCACAGTGTAAGAGTAATTTGATGTAACTGTGATTGTTGAACGTAAAAATCTTTGTCAGGTTGAGGTTTACTTGTTGAAATTTTAAACAACTAAATATGTCTGATGCTGATTTGTCAGATCTAAT